AGCCGCCGAGTTGGCTATAATCATTTCATATCCAACAAGCGCGAGTGGAATAATTATTTTATTAAAAACGCCCACAAAATATCGAGAATTCTTCCCGACTTTATTTATAAAAAAACAACCGATTTTCAATGGGCGCGATCCATTCAACCAAACTTTGTTTTCAATGGATCGGTTCGGTCCAACCGGAAAAGTTTCGGAAAAACGGGTCCAGCTTTTGAGGTGGTCCTCTTTTCCCGGTCGGACCGGTTGGAATTTTGGTTGAATGGATCGCGCCCAATATTTTGAGAGCATGGTATAATGGCTTAAATACCATGATGGCTAAGCCAATCAGAGCTCTAGAACTGCATTATCCAATGATTCAGTTTTTAATAATAGGAAATATATTCTTCCATGGTTTTTTTAGACTGCAAAATAGTCCGTATTTTTGGGTATTTAAGTATGCGCGAACCGCGGTCAAACAAAAGGTCTGGAACGAGGCTTTGTGAGACGCGAGTGCTTCGCGCGCGTGAGACTCTTAGGCTATGCTTACGCTACGTAGAACCGATTTTGAGCAAAAAACCTACTGTTTTGCCGTGAGTCTACCGTTTTTTTTTTTCAAGGTATTTATAAAGACCAGTTAGTCGGATATCTGTTGAAATTGCTGGAAAGAGCGGTTTGAAATCAGGAAATTTACAAAGTTTAAAGGTGATATGTTAAACGGCGAGGGGAGCGAAGATATTACTCCTTGAAAAAGTTGCGAAATTTTACAGACGATTGTAAGGCGGGGGCACGTTCATACTAACGTCTGTAAAATTCGGCGACTTGCGGAGTTAGCGTTAGTTTTGCACAAATCACGTTCAAACTTGGCATGTTTACTAATTCTTTGTAGTCATGTTGACAGATTTTTGCTAACTTGTCTCTGTCAAAAGTTGAAAAAAACCGTGAAACTGTCTGACTATTAGTTTAAATTAACAGGTTACGAACTATTGTCGACCAAGAAACGTGTATGACAAAAAAAAAAAAGTCGAAAGTAGTTTAATAATTATTAAGAGACGCAGGGTTAGAAACGAGTTAACCTTTCTGTATGAGCGGACATGTCCGATGTCATTAAGTATCAAAAGTGGTTTTAATCACCCTTTTTCGGCCAACAGCTGGTTATGAGAACATATTCTAAATTTTGAATCTATGGACGAAACTCCTGCGATGCGACTGTCACAACTTTGCTTTCGTATGATACTATATGCCGAGTTTTAGTATTTTACAAGGCACTAACAATTTTTCTTGAATGAGTTTTAATTCGCTATCACGGCTTGGAGTTACAGGTGTAACTATATAACCTACCAAATCGGCATCTTATATTTTGTTCCTTATTGCTCATGTTCTTACTTTATTACATAGAATTAATGAACTGATTTTCGTAAGTAGTTCAGAGAGTTATTCTGGTTATGTCTAGCTAGTCATTTATATACCATTACCCGAAACTGAGGAACAAAATGACAACGCCAGCGGTTACGTAAAAAGGACTTAAATGTGTTAGGCCGTTGCTTTCAAAGCGTTCTTTGATATTATCGTTAAGCCCTAGCGTTCTTTGAACCAGTTAATAATTCGCCTCAGATAACTTCAGTTTCATTGGAAAAACTGAACAACACAGCCGTGAAGTTACGTTAACTTCACACGTATATATATGTGCTATTCTGTTTTCTTGTGCGGATAAAACAACTGTGAAATGAAATATTTTTTCGAAGAGTAAGTTTTAGTCATTCACGCATGAAACTTGAAGTCTTATCATACATAAGGTCGGCTCGATTCTTTTTTGTCAGCGGCGTGCTCTGTATTCAAAACTAAGAATTATCGTACTTACAGTTCAGTGTAGAATCTCCGAGTGTGATAGTAGTTGACAGCTCAGCCGTGCTTTACAACAATAACCACGATATAACAGATACAAAACTGCCTCAAATTACCATTGTAGGTCCTGCGTACAACAGTAAGGAAAATCGATCATTTACGACACATCATTTGCTGCAATATCGCACACGTTCAGCTGAATGATATTGTCACCCAAACAAGTCCAAACATTCATGAAATTACAGCTAGACAGCTCACGCCTATTTTTAGCTCTCTTCTGATGTAGGCAAAGAGGATGTGATGAACAAATTATTCAATGATATTCAAGTAATGATTTTCAGCAAAAAGGAAAAGACATTTGAAAGTCGGAAGTTGGACGAGCAAGTGATGAAGATAAAGAAAACTCACGGAGCCATTGTAAAGCTCCGCACTTGAATTGTGCGTATTCTTTGCTTCAGTGGAAATATCTAGCTTTTTACTGTGTGCATCGAGCTCTGATGGTTGACGACATGTTAATTGTTCACTTTTCATTCACAATTTATTTGAAGAATCATCTTCATTTGCATTTCATGACCTGAGTACAAACAGAGTTACACTTCAAGGAGTTTGGCAAACCGCAGGTCGTTTTGACGCGGCCGGCATTTTGATTCTTGATCATTTCCGTGTGTACCATCTAACAAATGGGCATATAAACTATAAATAAAAGAATAAAAGACTGCGAGGCTGCGAAGGTTTAAATCCAATGGTTTTAGGGCCTATATTGACCTGTATTAAGAATTGCTGTTGTCTTGTAAACAGTCAATTTCCGTGTCACACGGAAATCTAGCTTTCTCTTGATAAAGTGAAAGAGAAATTAATGCCCGCCACGCGTGCTTTGTACATCTGAAGTGACTAATAGTAGGGTCCTTAGCGGTAGGTCGTTTTGAGGTCCTAGACCTTAAGATGGCGTCTCTAATAGTACTTACTTCTACAAAGGAAATATTGTGCTGTCGCCAATGAAACCGTCCCCCAAAACTCTAGAACGATAAAGGTTTCATGGTTGTGTCACTCCTTCTTGGTGTAATGAAGGGTTGACCTGGTGATTTTCGATACTGAAGTTTCCGTGAAATTTAGATGCCCTTTACTTTTATCGAAATTTCTTGCGTGGGGGTAAAACAGTTAACCTATATAAAGGTCCGTACATACCCACAGTGTTTTAAATTAATTATCATTTTTAATTTTTTAAATTTAAGCAGCTAAGCAACCATGCAAACAGGGTGTAAAGCGAATTTTGTCGAATCTACAACTCATGTTCATTTTCAAAAACGCCTTGAAATGACCAAATAACTCAACAGTCAGCTATAGGATGTAAAAGCCAATAAAAATTAACAAAACACACATCGTGCTTCTTGACTCTTAAAATAAACAAGTCATATACATGCGCCAATTTTAATAAAAGTGCAAATCAGTAATTAACGTCTGCAATGATTAGAGTATCATTTCCAAAAAATATTAAGGCAACGCCAACACTCCTCGCACGCAAACCCTCAATAAAAATGTCGGATTTATATCATGTTAAAAATCCAAGTCAAATTTCCGCTGCAAAAATTTTCTCAAAATGAGGTTGATACGTCTTTGCTTTAGATTGAGGCAGTAATACTATATATCAGTTTGACCTCTAATTTTAGCAAATTATATCGGTTATTGACAGTTATTACTCTTGTTATGATGGGCTAAGTCTCAAGGGTGATTATTTTTCATGTTGATGAGTCAGAGCATACGCAGAAGCTCGCAGAGTCTGGCATGAAAACAATGCAAGAGCTACTTAAAATTAGCAATTACACTTTCAGGAGCCCAAAATTTAAGTTCCAAATATTATGAAATACTCTGTAATAGAAAAAGTGCCTACTTAAAAATAGGAGTATTGAGGATTCAAGTATTAAAATAAATCAGAGGCCACCCTAATACGTTGTTTCCTCACTTGTTATCTAATATTTTATTGCGTTGAGTCTGATTTGCTCACCGAACCGTCTATCTCTATATTGAAATATATAAAATCATTACTGCGTTTTGGGTTGTAAAATGAAAATCTCCCAGATAGATTCATTTAGTTGATTGTCATCATTTCAAGAATTTAACTCTTTCACTGCCAGAGCCGGTCTGATAAAGTTTTGTAAGGTGACTCTAAATTTGAGTCTGTGGACGAAATCTTATGATGTGACCATTCAAATGAAAGCTCTCTGCCTGTACTTACACATGATGCTATTTGTTTCTCAAAATTTTAGAAAATGAAATTTGGAAATTTGGTCGAAATTTGCCTTTGGTCACATTTGGCAGTAAAAGGGTTAAGCAGTAAATTCATTGCACATGCTTCTATAAGCCACAACCGTGAGCAGGTAGATTCAAACTTTTAAAAACAACAACACAATAATTGTGCAAGCCTTTACTCAGTTTAATAAAATATAACACACTCTTTTCTATTCAATATTGCTCGTCGAAAAAATACAAAGGAAACTGACCGCTGAAGCTAATCCCTCTTAAAGAGTCTGGCTCTGGGCATGAGAGGTAAAATCAAGCTATCACTCAAGTACTGTAAGTTCTCAGAGAGTTTGGGCAAGTCAACCATAAAACTCTCAGGGCAACATTGCAAGGAATCTAAATTTAATTCCTTTCATTTGTTCTTTCCTTCGTTCGTTCCATTTAAAAATTCATCGTCGACTCATGTGTCTGCGTCACACGTATGAAAATACTCCTGATATTTGACTTGCTGAGGAAGGCAGGTGACACTTATATGAGAAAATTATTAAAGATCAGAACGACCAGTTCTACAGAGAGATAGTGCGTTAACGGGCAAGGAGGCATTCTCATACATTTCTTTTGCACTTTCAATGAGCTGTTGGGATTTTTGCGTTCTTGGTCTTACGTCTGCCGATAAATGGTAAAACGTCGTGGGCGACTGATATCCCAAGTAATATAGCTTACTTAACGTCACTCAAAATTCATTTCGTTTACTCATACAGTTATCAGTCCGCTGTACTTTTTGGTTTTACTCCTAGCCTCGTACGTCCATAAGTGTAACTGATATTATAATAATAATTTTCATTCTGACTCTTTTCTTTTTTTATTCTGTCAAAATGATTGTGCATGCGACTTTTCCCATCAGGCTTTGCGAGAGTTTCAGGATAATGGGCACCATTCCCATCATGCATCTGGAGCTGAGGTAGGGAAAGTTCGGACGAAGCCCTGGGCAAGTTCGCGACGTTCGGTTGTTTCTTGTTCTTGATATATGGAAACCTCGTGACTCTTTTACTACTTGGATCTGAACCCTTGTTATGCTTACCACTGTAAAGTGCATTTTGGGCAAGAGTTTTTCCATGCGATGTAGCATTTGACTTTCTAGTGAATTCATTTAAAAAGGTCCGTTTGTAATCCCTTCCGAAAACAACTGTGTCTGGTTGTTCTTTTAGTTTCGACTGAATGCGCGCGGTTTTTTCTGTTACTTGAGTGATAAGCGCCTCAGCTTCCTTGCAAAATTTTGCGGCTTGTTTTTCCAGACGCCAAACTGCTTTGGGGGCGAGCTCGTGGAAGTTTTGATTCTTAGAATTTCTAACAGGAAATTCACTAAACTGGATTGCTGGTGACACGGGGAATGTTGTTGGATTCAAGCGAAGAGCATTGCCTACGTAATCTGCCCCAAGCATAATCGTACTTGCATTGTAGCTCTTGCGAGCCGCGACTTTCGATTTGGTTAGCTCTCCAGGGAGCGCCGTGGTTTCTGTACTGCTACACTCATCCACGCCCTCGTTTTGATTGTTTCTAGTCGTGACTGAACCACTCTCCAAAAATGATTCAGACGACTTGTTTGATGTGTCGTCAATGTTGTCTTTATTTTCTTGACATTTTTCGTCGATTCCTAGATCCGCTGCTTTTTGGCTATTGAAGGAAGCTGCCTCATTTGCTGTCATGGTGACATTATGCCCAGAAACGCTCACTGCATCCTTAACACCCGCATCGTTTTCTTCATGTTCAGATTTTTCTGACGTATTAGTACCCTTAATGACGATATCCTCGTTACTTGTTTTTTCCCCTTCTTTTAAATCAATCTCGTACAGTTTCCTTTTTTCCCTCTTACGGCGCCGGGGAATAAATTTCACCTCGACCAAGCTGTTAAAGCGAACTCGTTTTATATGTTTAGCCGAGGGTTTTTCAATGCGGAAGGTTACTAAGACTGTTCTCAAAGAAGACTGATTGCTGTCTGTCAAAATTTCATCACAATCTTCCTTGATTTCTCCCATAACTTGACGAAATTTAAGCCCTCCTTACGGCAGTTTCTTCAACCAAGTTTTGTCCGGCATCAATTAATTTAATTTGCTGGAGTTTTCACCTTTAAACTGCTTTCAGCCAGCAAACCTTGACAATGTACACAGTTAAAATTTGACCAGTCTTTTACACCGGTTGATCTTGTTCATGTGTCGCGTCCTGGACAAATCCGAAAAAGGTAGTAAGTAGATTTGCTCTATACTGTTCTTCAAAATGCCGGTTGCACTGGACAAATATTTTTAAAGAAGGAATGGAATTAAGATGATTATATAGACTAAAGATGGTTTTATCCTGTTAAAGTACTGACACTTTCTGGTTCAGAAGCCAGTCGCGTCAGCTTTCACTGTTTCAGTCAAATGATCCTTTTCTACGTCTTAAAGCAGCGGGCTAATATGAATTGATCTAGAAGAGTAAAAGATTTTATATACCTCTTCTGAAGATACAAATCTCTCGTTCAAAAGCACGTTCTTCTTGTAAAGTCTAGACGTAACTCTTGTCTTTACACTTCCATTTTTCGCCGCCAGAACTTTGCGTCTTTGGAGTTAAGGCACTCGAGAGTTATGACGACAAGTATATACAGTAGGTAGACGTGACATCCCGATATCTTTTCGTATAATTGCCATGAATTTACTGTTAATGTGCTACTTGCGCAAGTACTTCCCACCAAAGCAGGTGAAGCGTCAAGTGGTTTTGTCTCTCATCTGTTACACAACGCGCTAATCGTTACTGAATAACTCGCTATGCAGAGGGCAATACTTAACTTATTTCTCGACCGGTCAATACGGTTGCCGCTAATATTGGAAAGGTTAAATTATAGCGAAATTTTGCACTCAACAAAATACGCTTTGAGCACATCTTTTTTCCCAAGTTTTAATTAAAAAGGCTCCCAAACAAAAGAACGTTAGAAATAAATAGGCTTTCCTTTGCGCCACGCCAATACCCAGAAACACTTTTGAGTCATTGCTTGACTACATCACCATCTTGACTTCTCCAAGTTACTGTCACTGCAGAAACCATCGTCTCAAAATTATCTGAACTTCACTTCGAAATTCATGGCTTAAAAATCGCGTCAACTCTTCTGGGGCTCATTTGAAGTCAATTAACCTCAACTAAATTCTTCGTTATTAATTGTGGCCCTTTTTTGAAAAACAAAGCTTTCTTTTGGTAGTTTGTAATTATCGCGTACTAAAACAAACTTGTCAAAATAAACACTGGGTTCCTTTAAGATTTACTAAGCTCGCTGAACAATCACAAGCCAAATCTTAATTCCGAGCGTCATGTTCAGTCAACAGCTGAAAACTTTAAGAAATATTAACGAAATACTCTTACTTCTGTAATCGTAAAAGCCTTAATAACGCCGCTGCGTACAAGTTATTTTTACCTACTTATAAAAGCGCAAATCCAGTGAAGATCATTTGTAGTTTAAAGCAAAAAACAGTTATCGCCTTAAATTTTCTTCTTAACAAGTCTTAACCTTTTACAAGCAAAAAGGTTCAAAATATGCATTCTTTTTCCTTCGCTCAAATTTAATTTAAACCATAGGAAACCTTACGGCACGAGGAGAAATGAAACCAACACACTAGGTTATAGCGACAGCTTAACAGCCAGACGTGAGATGTCACTGAATCTCTTTACTTAACATCGAGTAAATTAAAGAATATTTCATATTGCCGACTTATAAGTCACCATTAAACCATTCAATACTTTTCCGCGCTGCTAGCGCACTTCTTTCTCCCCCCGGCATCGTTATTAGGCACGCGCAAACCACACTTTACACTTGAACGGCGTCATCTACTCGAGTACCATATCAATGCTTAGTTAACTTTTTATAACGTGGGGGGGGGGGGGGGTAGTACACAGTTAAGGGATCTCTTTGATATCTCTTTCCTGCTACACTACAGTGCTCGCCGGCCATTTTACAACGAGGGGGAGGTGGGGAACTGGGTTAGTACACAGTCAAAGTGGACCTTTGAACAGGCTATTGTTATCTCCTTCCTGCTAAAATACAGTGCTCGCCGGCCACATATATTGATTCTACCATTATGGACACCAAAAGGACAAGGATTACAGCCTACATCAGCGCTCGCCTTCGCGCGCGCCTAAAAAGAGGTTAAACGCCTTTTCTGGTGTAAGCATTACAAAGGTGTCGCGTTATAGAGGTTAATCGTGACAGATGAGGGCATTTTCTCCTCAGACTGGGGGCCTACAAGAAAATGGCCTTATTGGAGATAACAGATAAACAGAAGAGGCCAGACTGAGTATAGTGAAAGAGCGACTGATTGGCCGGAACAGAAGATGTATCTCTTTAGAAGCATACACACGCAACACGATGGTAGTACACAACATTACATTATGATTACAGAATTGCGCCAAGAACATTTATCTACGTCACAGAATCTTCTAGTGCTACTAGAGTCTTTTTGTTCAGTGAGTGAGTCAACTTTGTCATAGCAACCAGTCACTGACCGCACCGCGGGCTCCGCTGGTCACCAGCGTCGACTCATGTAAGATTTGCGCGGACTATATCTCTTTTAAGGATAATAATGGGCACCACACCACTCACTGTGAATTTAAAAATTTTTACTATCAGTTTCACGTTTCTCATTTTATCTCACTATCTCTTACACCCGTAGATTGTAGATCATTAATGCTTGAAATGACTCAGTTTCAAAACATACTTTAAATGAACATTTTTACACACAATCAAATGCAGGATCAGTGAAAGAGCATAAAATAATAATTTATGTTTTATATTTTTTCACGGGTCTAAATCATAGGTCATATATTTTCGATAATCAATTTGTATTTTTTTTTTTTTTCAAAAACAGAACGTCATTTTAACTTTTTAATTGGTATGTTCCAGGCTCCAAGATAATATGTGCAACGCTCATGATTACTAGTGAAAGGCGTCCGGGCTGATGTTTGCGAGGGAACGTTTTCGCAACAGCTCTACTATTTAAGAGCCTGGAACAGGCTATATTTACTGACAACTTCTTCCATACCGCTTCGCGGTAACAACCGTATCAGCAGCAAAAAACTACTGTATTAAGCGCTTAAATTTTAAACAATAATAAATAAATCTAAATATGTCTATTCTCTGTAGTTTGGTTGCCTAATAAAGTGGATGCCTTATAAAAAAAACACTGAGGTTTTAGATGAAGTAATCGATGCATAGATTCCGTTATGGGTAGGACTAACAACTTTTGATGTGCGCAAATTAAAGTTTCTCCTAAAAATACATAAAATTTGCTGAAAATATTCCTGCCAAAATCTGAAAGTTCGATTCGAAGTATCGTTCGTTACTTGCACTAGTTCTTGGTTCAAAAAATGGCCTATAGTTGCTAAACTTTGGGCAGGCAAAGTTATAATAAGTTGATCTTTTACCAAGTAATGCTCAGAATCACAAAAATTACTCCAAAAAATACCGAATATAATTTGGATAAGCCTATATAATTGGACAACTGTGATTTTAATTCACAGAAACCATCCATCATTCCGAGCATTTACCTATTGATATGCGTCATACTTGACGTCAGACGTCATACTATATCAGAATGGGTGCGTGGTGTTTTAGGCTATCCTCCTAAAAAGAAACAAATAAATAATAATGACTCTGCTCTTTCTATGACTATAACTATAGTGTAAATATATACCTACTACCACTTTTTGAAAGTATCTTTTTTGACGAAACGCTGTGAGCTATTTAATGTCGTGAAGAAGCAAGGCCTTGGCTTGTCCTGAACAATGAACATGAATACAGACAAAGGCTTTTCTGTGTCTTTATCATATAAACACGTTAGGGACACGAATGCTATTCCGAGAAAAGTTTTCCAAAACTTTGCGCCATACTAATAAAGAATGCTGTTAGGAATCAGTGAAGACATAGATCGTCCTCGTCTTATAGGAGGCGTTCGATTTGATCGAACGGTACTGTCTTTTGCCGTCCAGGCATTAAAAGGGCTCCAACCGTCCAGGTTGATCGAGGATAACTCGCTAAATTTAGAGATACCTTCATCACAACTTGGCTTATCTTCAGTCGGTTTTTCATCCCCAATGATGACCGAACTGTCTGAAAGTCGTCTTTGCAAAACTTTTTCAGCTTTTTCAGTGGGAATAATTTTTAGAAGATCGTGTTTCTTTTCCTGTATGACGGAGGCTCCACTGTTTAGTTCACTGTCGGTTGCAGATTTACTACGGGACCTTTGAAGCGCTTTCTCGATCGCTTTTTTGAGGTCAGGCGTGTAAGGAATCTTCGGCAAAACGCCGAGATCAAGTCTCGGTAGTTCGGTCGGAGGCCGATGATAAAATTTTAATTTGGCTTCAACAGGAGACGTAGAAGTTCCACTATAGGGCGCATTGCCGTATCCTTCGAGTTTCTGACGCGAATGAGTTTTCTTCAAACTGCTTCCACTTTTGCTCGGAGAAGTATTTCTCAGAGAATTGTCCGAAACAGTACAATTTGTTTCCGAGGCCAAAACAATCTTTCCTTTGGCCATTGAATCAAAGTTTGGTATTTTCCTATACCCGTTCTGTTTCTTCTTACTTCGTCGCTCAACAACAGTGCGAGACCTCTGATTTGGCGTTATCTCATCGATGACTTTAGTGCGGGCAGTTTTGCATTTGCTAAGACGATCCCACTTGCTTGGAATGAGAAAAATTTCGTCTTTTAAGTCAAACCGCACTTTCTTCGTCATTTGTTGATTCTTCGTCTCCTCCATGGCAATGTATATCGCACGCAAAGCTTGAAAAATATTTCAGACACTTAGTTATCGCCACACTCCATTTTAACAAGCTTTGACAGTCTTTTTTATCCTGCCAGCTTACATGGTATCAGATGTGGCTGTGGCACTGAGAAACTTACATGATGCCAGCCGCACTTCAAAAGTATGTAAACATTTTATCAGTCATATTTCACCTTGTGTCACTTCGTACAATGAGCAAAGCTCTTAAACTCTCTGACAGGATGTGGATAATTTATGAGAGATGAAGTGATTCTTAATTTACGTAACAGAAAGCCCGTATGCACAGGTAAAGTAGTGCCTTTTGTGTGTACATAATACCAATTACAATTACTAAAGGAGGGCCTCTACAAGATTAGTAATCAAAGATTTTCAAGTAAGTAAAACCAATTAAAATACTAGGCTTTTCTTGGCAAATGACTTAGGTTTCACCATAGACATTGGGTTCAACCAACAGCGTTGCTTAAAATATGTTCAATTATGTATGTGTTTTCCGACTTTTAATCTTCTAACAGCTTTAACCTGTCAACAATTTTGATTTAGCTTTTAGTACAAAGCCCACAAGAAAATCTTTTGTCATTCTTCAATGGACTTTAGTCAGGTCTTAATGAAGTCCCTCGAGGAATAAGACTCGGAAATATTACGTTTCGCTTTTATTTTTTCATTATCACTTGGTAGAAAATTAGACGGGCGAAAAAACGAAGATCATAGCTATATCGGCTTTTACTGAACACACAGTACTGTGTAAAATAAACAGGTTTTAGAAATATAAACAAGTGGCGTACAAATTCGAATCAGTTAATTAGTTTTCCATGGTAACCTTAAGCTGTGTAAGTTCCGTGTTGCTATGAAAGACGGGGTGCACAAATTTAATTAGTGCCGCAAAAAAAAATCATCCCTTCGCCGTAGCCTTTGCGAGTTCGTTTGGACTGATTTAAAATCAGTAAAATGAGTTTCTAAGAAAAGAGGCAAAGACTTCTCTTTTTCATCAGTTTGCATTTACTCTCATATGCTAACTTAGGCATCGAGAAAGCCCGGTTTAGCGGAATGTTACATCACGACTGGTACTGTACTATGGCAGTAGCTATTGGATTTTGCTGTTTAAAAATAAATGAAAACACCACTACTCAAAACATTTCTGTAAATCATATACCGGTTTACATTTTATAGAAAGTCACACTGAAATCTGTTGATGCATCCAATATACCTTCCGCTCTAAATTTATATCTTTGGGGCCTTGCGTGATCTTCCAATCAATGAGTAAGAAAGCTCCAAAACATAAAAAGAGGAAGGCCAGACACCTGAAAATATTTATTTACCGAAAAAAAAATTACCGAGAATTGCGGAGAAGTTCACGTCCTTTCGGGTTCATTTAATCGACCTTATTTATGACACACAGAATACTATCAGGGAACTGCACCCAGAGAAAAGAAGAAGAATATACAAAAGTATCAAAGTTTTGGTGAGCGAGCCACATTGACCCACGGGAGGGGTACTACGAAGCCACGACCGACCAGCGGTTATTTGTTCTGCGCATAAAAATGAATGCGTAATACAGAAAGCAATATGGCGGTCGCTTTGCACAGAATTAGGTTCTTCTACAAATTACGTCCGTTTAACTTAACAGAATCCTTAATCAGGTATGGGAAAGTGTTTCTTATGAAGGAAGAGACTTTCTACTTCCTTTTCATACTGTGGAGAATTAATTTGATGTTGTTTTCATTCCCTCACACGCAGAGCAAGTTGTGTTCGTTGCCTACACACAAGTCATGCAGTGTTTGGGCTGGAAGAATTTTTCCCTCCGGGAGTGATCGAGAAGGGAGAATTGGCTCCAGAATCCGTCAATACAGGTATTTGTCTCTATTTTAAGATATCCAGTGTGAAACTGTTGTTGCGTCCCTCCCTTCCCGCTCTCCTTGAAATCAAAAGACTTGTTATTTGTCGAACAGCGGCAGGGGTATTTTCAGTATTTTAAAGAACGCAGAACGTTGAATGCAGAATACAAAAAGCCAGATGACTTTGAAGTTTAGTGATTAGGGGTAGCAGACAGGGTGAATCAAGTTTCAGGTCAACTTTCCCGGTATTATGACTCTAAATGGAACCTGATTTTACCAGGGCCTGAACAATCGATGAAATCGATAATCGATGGCAATCGATAACAATCGATTGATATTGATAATCGATGGACAATCGATCACGAAAATTTTTATGATTATTGATTATCATCGATTATCAATATCAATCGATAATCCATGGGAATCAATCAATTAACATAATAATTCCACGCGGAAGATCGAGGTGGACTTGAGCGTCTGCACAGACATAGAAAGAAAGAAGAAGAAAAAGAAATAATAAGCTTAATCGTGTTTGAACGACGACTGCGTCCCAGGTCAATTGAAGCTAAATCGATCAAGTTTGTTGTACTGACAAGGAGATATGTTAATTGTCTTAATTATTTGTGCTGTTTTTCACGGAGCCTCATCGATGAACAATTCTCAAACTTTGTTACTGAGGTTTAAAAATAATATACGATCTGGGTATACTCCCGCGATACCTGAAGATACGGAGACATGAATTTAGTGCCAATCGATGGCAATCGATGAAGTTTGCGACCACCTAAGTGTGATTATCGATTGATCATCGATTGGCCAATGCCAATCGATGCTAATCAACAGTAATTAATCGATTGATCGATTGATTTTGCGGTCATCGATTTTCATTGATTAATGTTCAGGTCCTGATTTTACTCAGTTTCCTAACCCTAATCACTAAACTTCAGAGTAATTTGGCATTCTTCATTCAGCGTTCAACAAAATACCTCTGCCGGTCAAACAGTGGATTACAACCTTTCGCCAAGCTGCGGTTATCTTTCACTTGGCTACAGCATCCCCTCAATACAGGGTTGTCACTAAGATTTCAAGTTGCCGGGTATACACAACAAGTAGGCGGGGAATCAAACGGCTAGGGATTTCTTTTGGTTCTATTTTTCTTCTATTTTCCAATAAAAGTAGCCGGGGGCTACTCTCTTTGTAGCCGGGGAAAATCCCCGGCTCCCGGCTCTTAATGACAACCGTGCCTCAATATCTCCCACGAACACTCGAAAGATGAGAACTATCTTTTGATTGTTTGGCTTTACAAATAGCTAAAATGTTAATATAATAATCCCGTTGTACACTTTGAAGGTAGAAAGTGGCAAGCTGGAGAACTGAGGGGCAAGAGTAATGAAGACCTTCACAAACTTTGGTAGGAAGGAATTTCACTATACAATTTTTGTCAATATTTGTCAATTTTTCTGCAGGCCTAAGACGAGCAGTCAAAAGTCTTACAAAAGTCTTAACAGTTTAAGGTTTAACCTGAGAAAATGTTTACCTATGAGTCTTTCAAAGAGTAGCTGTGAGGAACAATGACAAAAAGGTCCACGAGATCGATATATTGATTTTGCTATAATATTGATTTTCTGATTATAATCAGAGGCATAGGGATTAGGTACTTCTGTTATAATGACAAAATAATCATTTTCAGTGATGAAATACGTACAAGAACTGTACTATGAATAAAAATTGAAATGTGGAGAAATAAAGGGCAAATCTCCAAACCATAAAGCACAAAAAAATGCTCAAAAGTTATTTTCATCTGTGAGATTTGGTGACCTGAGATCGGGTGATGTATCTGCAAGAATCCTGGATAATCCAAGAGAGTTGACATAATGTATGAGTTATGAGTATGAGAGAACCAGTTTAAACTTTTTACATGTATAATCCCACTACTTATGCTCACAGCCAGAGCTCACAGCTTAGTGCATTAGAAACTTTGGGTTACTATTTCTACTCGGAGAGGATGCCTTTCAATCACACAGTTATTTTGCAGGTATGTACTGCTGAAGGAAAGAAACATGTTGCTAACTTTAAGACATGAGTCTAAGAGACAAGGAGTTCCAATGCCTTCTCCAACAAGATTACATAAGGTAAGAGGAGGATAGCCTGCATCGCGGCGATATCCTTGTTTTTGGACTCCCAACGGATTTAATGAATTATAGGAAATGTCATTTAACCCTAGTTAGGAAGTCCAGGAAGCAGCGCCGATATCCTTGTTCTCAACTCGTAATAGATTTAACAAATTGTAGGAAATGCGTAATCTAACCCCAGTTAGTGACGTTTACAAAGCAGTGCCAACATCTTTCTTCTGGGCCCCCAACAGACACAATGAATTACTGGAATTGCGTTTTGAATTTCCCTTCAACCTGATTGGCAAATTGACAATGGCGTGATACAAATCCTGGTACACTGGCTGGGGTCCAGAACAAGGATTTTGGCACTGCCCTCACTCCTGCAAACAGATTTAAACACAGGTTTAGTTCCATCTGTGGTGCAGGGTAGAGGAGGAATGATGCTTTCAAAATACAGAGAACTGATTTCAGCTTTCAATACAAAGCTGTCTATTTAGTATTATAATTTGATTTCAAGGGTAGCTGCTTACAATACAATCAGTTGATTCCCACTATACTTTTATATACTGTTCTTTTCAGGGGCTTGTTCATTACCTGTGAGGGAGGGGGGGAGGCGACCATTTTGATAAAGCTTAGAAGATTTCCAAAGTATTCATTTTTTTAATCATGTGTAAATTTGAGTAAATTCTCACCTGAGAGCTTTAGAATTGATGGAACGTTTTTAGCTTTCGTAAACTTGATATTTATATTATTTATTACCTTACTATTTTAGTATTTAAGGATTTTAGAATTTTAGGTTTTTAGTAGTTTCATAGGGCCATAAGGGAGAATACACTTAATACTGTAATTTGGTGGCATAGCCGTTGAAGGTTTTTGCATAAAAAAGAACAAGCATTAAGGCCAATTTCCATAGTGTTAATATCAAAAACAACATTCTTTAGTGCTAATGAAGTTTCATTTTGCTTCGGTGAATGTTAGTTTATCAGACCAGAATATCAATAACAAATGATTATTATTTTTGTTCTTTTCTCATTTGTGTCATTTTGCATTTAGGTCCAGAAATCCATGGCAGCCATTAAGACAGTCATAGCAGAAAGAGTAAGTTTTGGTTTCTCTTGGGAATTATCTTTACAGATACAACACTGATGTAATTAAATATATAGAATACTGGTACTTTGCACATGTTTATTGTTATGTCAATAGGCCATTTTTGAGTTCCCCTGGGCCTCTGTATCAAAACGAGGTTAAGTGCACAGCCTTTGATATGGAAATGATTTTTCATTCTCATGCAAATAAAACTCATTTTCACAAGAAAGGTGGACTGCGAGCAGTCCCTTAGGATGGTCACGTGAGCGAGGAAAGCGCAAGCAAGAAAATCGAGCGAAGCGAGCGAACTCGGCCAATTCGCTCTCTCCAGTCCTGCCGAGCTTAGACTTGACTGACTGAAGAGGGACTGCTCGCAGTCTACAAGAAAGGTTGTGCACCTACTGTAGCCTCATTTTGAAAGTGAGGGTTTTTGGGAACTCGGAAGTGGCCTATTGTGAAGAACAGTGTCTTTGTTTACAAGAGAAGCAAGTAAATGTAATAATTTTATTTCCAGGAGAGATTATTAAAAGTCTTAGAACAAGAAACATGGCCATTTGACGCAATTGAGGAGGAGCAGTCAACGGCAGACGTGGAACTTGTCAAAGAGGATAGTAATGTTGTTGTAAATGATGACGAATCACAACCAGGATTTTTCAACAAACTGAAAAGAAAACTTTTACCTGGAATGTGGAGGACTACATAACTATTTAAACAATTTTGATAAAAGTACAGATGTACGTTGAGGATCAACCACACCATCCATGGCATTCAAATCTACTGTTGTTCACTCACATTCACAATCAATTGAAAAGGAAAACGTCTGGTTTGGAGTTAATTAATAGACTGACATGCAAGTACAAGTACATGGCTCAAGTATTGTGTGTGACCTGGTCTCCAGTGAGTCTACTGTTGATAATTACCGGTAATTGCAAGTCATTCACAACATGGTAACATAACTGAAAAGGAAGCTTTTATTTCAAAATGGGTGATTGCCCAAGGTTTAAGTAGAAAATTATTCATTTACTTTACTGTTCTATGTACTAGTAGAATGATTATTATGGAAAGAAATGTGTACTAGACAGAACTATTCAAAATTAAGCAAGATCTAAGATGAGGATCACTGTTGGCTCTACAAAACATGTACTATTCAGAGGCACCCAACGATGGTTTCCTCCTTAATACATTGAAAACACTTTTTAGGCTATCCACAGTATTTTTAGATCTCTAGAAATGCATTCTAAGTGGCACTATAAGATTTCCTATCTGTTCAGTCAGCCAGGGGAAATGGAGTCTTCAAAATTACAAGGGCTTGAGTATTATTTTCCCGAGAATTTTAGATGCAATTTGATGTATTACAAAAGTGAGACATTTTCTGATTCCTCTCTCCCCCATTTTTTAATCCAAAAATTTTAGGTTTCCTTTTTTCTCTGACAAATAGCCTAACTTAGGAAGTGAGATAAGAAAATTGAACATCAGAAGTTCATAGGGAATTTATCAGATAAGCTTCAAATATTGTACATGAATGGAACGGTCATCTAGAAATTTTTAGCAGTCCTCAAGTGATAGAAAATTGTAGGCAATATTTTCTTCTCTGAACAGATTATTTTACAGAAAAAAGTCATTGGGTGCTCCTGACCACTGTATAAACATTTCTGATATGACTTTGTACATGTACAAAACTATTATTTAAGAACAAGTAGGGTTTAACTTCTACTGTATAAAACATTTCTAAAAGCTCTATATACAGATGTTCATATTCTACAAACTACAAACTACATATTTGATATGATAAACAACAATATTAGTTAAGTATCATTGCATGTTGTTGATCTGTCCCAGATAGTAAGCAGCAAATGCCCACTATTAAACCCTTTGACCACTGAAAAGCGGTGATGTGCTTGTGGCATAAACTATATTGCAGATTGTGAATATAAGAGTAATAAAGATACAGTAAGATGCCATTGCATGAGACCTTGTGTGCATAGATGCACCTCATATTATAAGTAATAATTATTTTGTATAATTTCTCTTGAGAACTACAAAATTTTTAGGGGCCCTGTAGAGCAATAAAATCTATTGTGAGTCTTTTGTCAGTGTGCTCTATTTTTTGTCTGTGGAATAGACTAGGAGACTGAGCCTAGGCTGATACAGGAGCAAAATGATTTGATTTGCAGATTCATGACTAATACAATCTCAGATTGAAACGCATGTCCTCACACTGCCATGCCACTAAGGTTTGACAGCCATTGATATAATTTGCTGATTTTTAAGGCATCTCTGTCTCTGCTCTGTCACATAACCAATACTAGTCAGCAGACTCAGACTGAAGTGTCTTATTTAGTTATTTATTTGCCAGAAAAAATATTTATATACATACATACAGACATGCAATAGATTACAAAAATCTTATTTAAAGATCATAGAGATGAAAACTCCAAGTAAAAGAATTAAAAGTATTTTTCTGGCGAGGAAGCTCAAATTGAAACCATAGGGCTTATTATGAGGTCCCTCCCTAACCTCCCTTTACTCTGACCATGACCATTGCTAGCGCAGTCATCTGATTTGTATTTTACCTGCTTCCAAAGCAGCACATACCTCTGCTCTAACACATGACCAACACTGGTAAGCAAATGACTTAATGAGCATATTCATCAATGCAACCCTCATTTTGAAGTGTATGCCTCCACTCTGCCCATGACCAAGGCAAGTAGGTCGGCCATTCCAAACACTTCTCTGCTCTAAAATTCAACCAATACTGGTCAGCTAATCATTTTATTTGCAGATTCATCAATACATCGATTCCTCAGATTGAAGTGTGTACCTCCACTTTTCCCGCGACCAAGGCTAGTGAGTCTGTCATTTAATTTCCAGATTTAAATGAATGATTCTGCCTTTACTTTGCCCAATCACCAAGGCGAATCGAATTCCAAAACAGTAGCGGTGATTGTCTTTGCAGTTTGTTGTTTTCTCTTCCTGATACACTTGGGGCATTTTCTTTCCGCAATACAAGCCTTGTGGTATAGGGCTTTACACTTTCCACACTAAAACATTGAAGACCAAAACAACTGTCACTAAATGATGCACAGCAACCACCAAAACATATTTTTTCTTTTTAAAGTGAAAGCATGTCTATTAACATCAGGTACAGTAACAGAGAAAACAAACTACAATCATTACCTTGTGTTGAAGAACTAGTGGGATATTTAACTACTGTACTTTCTCTAAGTAACGAAAAATCACGTTTGGGTGTTATTTATTAGTGAGCTTACGTAATAGGACGGCCGAAGAAAGAAGACTACAAACCGTGTGTGACAAGCGTGACAATAATTATGTTAGGAAAAAAAATCCGCCAATGATCACCTTCCTTTTAACAGATCTTTTTGTAAAAGCCCTGGGCCCTGTTTCTCGAAAGTCCCTGTAACGTTTTGGGCCCCAAAAAGCTGTTTTATGCTTGCCGTGTTTGCATTTACGAACAAAGTTTCAATAATTTTTGACTGGTTTGTGAGCTAGAAACTGTGCTACCCTGGTGCTACCATTCAACAAGTTTTGATTTTAAAATTTACCTTCAGGCCCGAAAAGATTCCGGGCCTTTCGAGAAACGGGCCCCAGAGCACAGTACCGTTAAGTGAAGTTCACGACAAAACAAGCAAGTAATACTGTCAGTAGCCCTGTCACTTTTGTCATACACAGACGTTGTGCCGTTCTCCTCTTCCTGGCGTCCTGTTAACTGAGCCCACTATTTCCTTAACAAGGGCTTTGCTAATGTCCAAGGCTGTTACCTCGGTTACGGTCGTTTCGCCTGCCAGTCGTTTCGCTAATGTCCTGTTCGCTGACGACTGAAGTCGTTTTGCTTACTTGTTAAGTCAGTTCCCTAACTGCTTTTACCTGATCAGTAGCTGAACGAACGAGGTGTATACCGATGCGCAGCGCTCGTTTTTCTTCTTAAGCGGAAGGACACAAGACGTTGCAGGGTTTATACAAAAAATTGCAACCATTTTTCAGGGACTTCTCAAGGACCACATCAGATTTTCCTGGACCACCTAATAGGACTATAATTTCACAGATTGTACAAAAATGCACATTCCCAGTCTATTCTAATAAGACTTTTAAAAAGGCTTGAACTGTTTGCTTCACCAACGTCTCTACATTTTTTAAAAAATAGAGCACTTTATGTAAATAACCTTTAAATTCTCTGCGCTATGATTTATATTCTATCTTGGACAACAAAAAGCATCAAAAAATTCTTTCCAGGCCACTACATTTAAAGTTGAAGAAAATTCAACTTTTCAAGGACTTGCAGAGAAAATTAAGGACTTTTAAAGGAAAATGGAATTCAAGGACTTTTCAAGGACTTCCCCTAAAATTCAAGGACTTTTCAAACCTGTGCGAACCCTGCGTTGGCAAACGGACCGTTGGCGAAACGACTCAGGGTAGGCGAAACGACCGCGGTCAGCCTTACCTGAGTAGTTGTTGCCACTTCAAAAGGATATATGATCTTCGAGTTGTTACAAATTTCACAAAAGAACCCTTTCTGACAACAAAGCTGTGCGTAGGATAAAGAACAACAAACGTGAATGTACTCTCTATTTTATCTAGTTTATTTCTCCACTAGTTCCTATGAATGATGAACAAGTTCCACTTAATTGTTAGACGGATGCTTTCACATGATTTGGAAAAACCACAGATATATTTGTAACAAACCATGTGCTCAACTTTTGACAAGAAGTGATTTACACTTGCATTGATACGACTGATGGCTGCTTTAAACACTTGATGAAAAGGACTGTTACTTGAAAAAGTTAACCTTACCTACTTATTTTTAAAAGACAATAGTTGACAAATATTTTTAAAAAAATTGAACGATGTTTCGAGCAACCCCATCATGAAGGTTATTTGTCAACTCGCCCGAACTCGAGTTACATCATCTGAACCGGGTTACGCACAAGCACACATCTTTTAAGCAACTTTAAAGGCACTTAAAATGCTGGTATTTGTCGCTCCTAAAACGCAGTTCTAAAGGCAGTTTACGCGCTACGATTTTTCAGCCCGAAAACACAAAAGTCGGTCTTATTATAGACCGATTTTTCATTTTGGCCCTTCCTTCAGGTAAAAAAAAATCGGTCCGATAAACTGTAGCTTGCAAAGTGACCGAAGCTGGCTTACCTTACACTTGTAAACATGTTTCGTGCAATGAGCAATGATTTTTTTCAGGTGATGAGCAAGCTGTCCTGATTGTACTTGAATCAAATCCTAAAAATAAAACAAGTGGAAACAAGAAATCCCTTGAGCAAAGTCCTAGCATACTACCGTTCTTTCCTGAAGCCAATTCCCTATTTTTTACAAAGGTTTTTCCCTTGAGAAAATTTAAAATCAAGAAAAGTTTCCCAGTGACAACCGTTTCCAAGAAAGTTCTTCTACTTACAACAGGTCTCTGCCTAGCTTTTGTAAAAACTACATCAACTGTGGTGCGACGTGGGTATTGAATCCGTGTCGAACATTCGCAACAACAATAAACTGCAGCAATTTTTCTTCAACGGATCAGACGTCCGTTTCTAAAAATAAACTGTTTCTCAGTAATTTTTCTTCAACAGATCAGACGTCATTTTGTTTCACTAAGTGATGGTTTTTCATGCTAGATGCAAAACTTTTGAAACCTCGATCTTTAAAAATTCCCGTTAAAGAGTTTTCCGGGCCTAAGCTGTCTCCGTTTACATTAAAGATCGCGTTTTTTTTCTCGTCAATTTGTTTAACGATCCTTGGGCGCTCTTATTTTGATTTGTGCAAAGGACTTTCGAGAAACGGGCCCCTGGAAGGCGTTTTTTCTCGTCAATTTGTTAACGATCCTTGGGCGCTTGTGTGCAAAGTAGGCCAACATACTTTTGAATCTTGTAAAGTTTTCATTTTTTTTATTCAAAGAATTTTTTTAAAATCAATGTTCTGTTAATGAAGTTTGTCCACCTAAAATTTTTTTTTTTTTAGTTTTGAGAAACGCACGTAGGATGAGAGTCTTATACACTTGGTTTTTATAATCAAGGTGCTTCCTCGCTCAATGGGTTTTTCGGCTTGTAACGACTATATGCAGACGACAAAGCAGTCAGTATCATAGCGAGAGCAAGTGGAAAATGGTACGGTGGTAACCATGAGATCCTCGAAGATAAATACGCTACGCTAGGAGGATCCTTTATTGACATATCGCTCACGTCACAGTGAGCAACGACTACGACTACGAGGACTGGCGGGAAAACGTGGAGGATACGAGTTTTTTATTGACATATCGCTCACAGGAGAGGGTGCAACCTCCTTCACACAGTGAAAAAGCAATCGGGATGTCTATATTTTGAGAATACGCGAAAAAACTTGAAGTCAAATCTCGCACTCGTAGTCGTCCTCGTCCTGAATCTAAAGGTCTCTAATAGCTGGAATATATGCGCCATGTAGTTAAGGAATTTCGCCAAAAAATAATAAAAAACATTTAAACAAGGTCAGTATCGCTTACCAACAATGAGTACTGATGAATATCGTCCCAGAGATATTCCCGCGGCCATATTCTCCTCCTCACTTCATCGGCTATAGGATCTTTACAAGTGTATACGAATCCTTTTAAATGCTGTAATTGTGATCTTAGTACCTATGATAAAACATTGTTGGCAGGTATGTTAGGGTAAAGGTTAGGGTTAAGGTTAGAGTTAGGAGTAGTGGTTCTTGAACAATGAATGGACAGATCTAAAGACACCGACACCGTTCAATTTGACCACTCCAGAAATACCATAACATACCATAATGCTCTTTGTTTGTCACCCCGAAATTTTGCATAAGGATTGTCTTCAGTTTCTCTCGGGAGTTAAAATGGCCCCAAGAGAAACTGAAAACAATGCTTCAGCAAAATTTTGGGATGACAAACAAAGAGTATTATGGTATGTTATGGTATTTTCTGGAGTGGTCAAATTGACCACTCCGTGCTGAGAGAGACTCAATCCAGTCGACTAAGTTTAAGCCAGGAAACCTCCATTGTTATAACAGACTGATCATGACTTAAAACTGTTCGAATTTTGTTTTGTTTTGTTTTTTTCTTGGAATTAAAAGAAAAGATTTGAAGGATCAGGCATTGACACGCAGTCGCGCCTAGTTTCGCTTTTCAGAAAATTTCCAACGCACCGCCATTTTGGATAACTGATGATTTTCAGTCATATTCGGTTACTGCCATTGTTTCATCGAAATCCATTGACTTTTGAAACCAAAAAATGGTAAAAACCATATCCTCTGGAGCAGCACATACCTATATGGTTTATATTGGGGGGTATACGCTCCCCTCCCCCCTCGGGATCCTGGCAAAAGCTAAGGGTAAAGATCCTTATTTTACGTGGGTAACTCGCAACAGTAACCGGAGGCCGACAGTGTGCTCATAAAGCTACACGGAAAGGACAGAAATTAAAACAACGATTTTGAGGTCACAGCAGGGAATCGAACGCAGAACCCCTCGCACAGAAGGCTGCGTACTAACTGCTCGTGCTAATCGTTGCCCCTCCTGGTAATAAACGCGATTTAAACTCAACTAGGACGCCACTGTTTTCCAATGTAAGTTTACATCAATTGACTTTCTAAAACGCGCCGTTCCGTCTCTAAAGATGCCAGAGGAGCGGGGAGGGGGGGAGTTGGGGGAACCCGAAGCCTGTCGTAAAAAGGAAAGAAATGTTACTGTACCATGACTTCACGCAGTTCCTTGATGACATTGTACAGAGTTGGGTTTGTCTCGTCAATATTGAAAAGCGGCTCCTCTTCAATGTGAAGCAAGAACAACTTGCAGTGTTTGGCAACTTGATGTTTCCGAAGATCCCAATTATGTATGACCCGAGCAGGAATAACATGCTCTTCGTTCTCGTGACATTCAAAGCAGTAATAACAGGCGTCGTATGTGCAAACTTTGAACTCTCCATAAATCATGCCTACAAAATATATAGACAATATTATTTACTCGAATAAGCATCGCAGCACTTACTAAATGAAATTTTCACGCCTTAGATGCGGCGCTTAATAGGGACAGCGCTTATTCGAGTAAATACGGTATTCGTTCCAAATATATCTCCGTTTCTGATTGACTTTAAAGGGGCTGTCTCACGGCTGTCTTCAATCCTAGACTAAAGTCCTTGGGACAGTAATGCAGTGTTCATAATTTTCTGTAAAACAGTGCATCCTTTTCGAAATTTTCCTGCAGTTCTCTCTCCCCTCACCCTATACAAAGCTGAAACTCGGGAAAAATTCTGGATACACGCGTCCAACGTTGTTTGTGGGGTGAGGGCAGGGGTGGGACCTGTGTGAATTGGAAAACGCCCCAGAAATGCAAAAGTATCCCAAGACTTTAGTCCATGTTAATAACGCCAGTAACGTCTCCTCATTCGCTATGGAACTTGAGGAATTTCTTGTGAATTACCAAATCACAGCTTCGTGTCAAACGAATGTCTCCCAAGCATTATATCAAAAGAAACAAACAATAAAATTAACTTTGAAAAGCTGTTTTTCAAAACCCACAATTGCAATCGGTTTCAGTCTTCTTTAAGTTTGTCGATCCCTGCCTTGTTTTGTATTTGTATGGTGCGTTATTTATGCTTTCTTTTCATGTTTTGATTTTTTTTGGTGACGGTTCCCACTTTCATGATAGATAGATAGATAGACAGACAGACAGACAGACAGACAGACAGACAGACAGACAGACAGACAGATAGATAGATAGATAGATAGATAGATAGATAGATAGATAGATAGATAGATAGATAGTTTATTAAAATATCGAACATGGCAGTCCGTAGACTGAATTGCGTTACAGTTACTTAAAACTACGAATAAATAAATTCCAAAAAAATAAATACTAATTGAAATTATAACAAAAAACATTTCTATAAAAACGAAAAACTCTCTATAATAACTGTACAAATAGTCTAAAAATATTGCCATACTTGGAATAAAATGTTCTTAAAACAATCATTGCCCTGGACGTCATGTCGCAAGGTAAGACAGACGCGGTGATCCGGGCATGACGTGATTTTCGAAAAGTGTGTTCGGATAAGATGTTTCGAACCCTTAAAACATTTGAATACGAATAAAAGGACAAATGATATTTCTTTCATGACACAGCTCCTTTAATATGTGTTGGCGGTTCAGTTTCATCTCTGGTTTAAATTATATGTTTCCCTTGTTCAAAGGAAAATTAAGATGTTTCAATCCCCTTAAAACCAAGGATAAAATTGAACCAACAACATGTTTTATCCCTGGTTTAAATGTGTTGTGGTTCAGTTTTATCCCTGGTTTAAATTATACGTTCCTTTGTTCTAAATTCTTTTCGAACTCTTGAGGAAAAATTAATTGGAATAAAAATGCACATTTCGAAAGTCAAAATTCAAAGAAAAATCTCGTTGACCTACCTATATTTCGTCCGCATCCTTTGCACTGGTAGTTCTGACTGTCTAGTCCTTTCTCGTTGGCTATTTCAGTCACTAACGCCATGAGCTCATTAGTACGGTCCTCACCATGCGTTGAATGTACGGATCCACGCTTTGGAAGAACTTCAAAGCCCGCCGCTGTGATGGTTTCAGAAAAGTCCCACTCCTTTGTCTGTGGGATCTTAAATATTCGGGAGATTTAGTTAGAATCACGGTAACGGCAAACGACAAACATCAGCTGGTTAATCTTAACGGCAATAAAGCAGCTAGGAGAATTGCTATTCATCCCTGGACGTGACTACTACGTGATAGAAAAGTTCATGAAAGCGAGGGGACGGCGCAAGAATGCTTTTATAATAATAATGTAATAATAATAATATACGCTTATATAGCGCCTTTCTCTTAGTGATCCAAAGTGCTTTACAATCAGTAAATACTTGGAAAACAAATAATTCAAATACAACATAACAGGATTTAAAACCCCAATTGGCAGGAGGCAACCAGTTAGCTATTTACAAGCGTGGACGAGGATTTGAACTCGGGACGACCGAGCACAAATCCAGCAAGTGGCCATTGCGGGACTCGAACCCGGGACCGCCGGATTGCGAGTCCGACGCGCTGACCACTCGGCCACGCTGCCTCCCTTTTACCGTACGTTAAAGTGTCATCAGTCGTGTTGATGGACCATTCGCCACTTCAGAAGCGAGAAGAGGACTGGGGCCGAAATGTGTCCCGCAGATGTTCATAGGATCGTAAGAGGGGACGCGCCGGTCAGCTATTGGCCAATTTTTTCCCCTGTCCTTGGAAACAGTCCCAGAGATCTTTGCGAAAATTAACTCTCCCCAGTTTCTTTCTCGTTTCTAAAGTTGCAGGCATAACAGTTATTAGAGAGCTTTAGATTTTAAGACGAGGACGACTACCAGTACGAGATTTCCTCAATACTAAGTATTGCGCGCCCGTGAACCAGCGCCATTTTAGCGGGAAAACGTGATAGCCGTCGTCATTCTACTACGAGTATTAGCAAGAATGTCGTAATGGCGGGAACAAGTTATCAAATGTAAGAAGTTTTATCATCTTGCTATAGGAAGAGGGCTTTACCCCCTTCAGTATAAATAACCGAACTAACTTTTTTGGCGAAAACAAGTAAAATGAAGCTTTCCGGTGTGTCTTTTTTGGGAACACGAGCAAAACTTTAGTTAAATCTCGTACTCGTCTCGTTCTCGTCCTTAAATCTAAAGCTCTCTAATAAGAAGGAGCGAGCTTGGCCCTAATCACTGTACTTCGGTGCTCTCTCTGATTTTCACACTTTCTCAATAAATCTGCCCAATAAACGGTTATCTACCAGGAGTATTAGGATGTATAAAAATCATCAGGTGTCCAACATTCTAGTCACTTGACTACCCAATTAACCCTTCAACTGCCAGATCTAATGAGTAATTCTCCTTTCTGACTGATATACATTTCCTTGATCACAACTTAAGGGAATTTGGGGTTAAATGAAGATAAATCCTCTGGCTGATGCGTTTTCCTATTCTCACCACATGTCTGTTGAACAATGCATTGATATTGTAAGGAGAAGTTACATGACAATCACTGAAAGACATTGTACCTCTTGAGGTTGACTAGATGTGGGAGGGTCCTCATAAACAGGTGCTTCAAACCTATTAGGGCCTTGAACGGTATAGTCCTTTAACAAGGTGCGAAAACTTGGTACATTTTTTAGTCTAGTGGGAGACGCCGGACGTAAGGTATCCTCTGGTACCACTACTGTCCCTGCATTTCCTGCATGATCAACGCTTCCATCAACGCTCATCTGAGTTTCAAAGGCGGATGACCAGCCACCAGCCATTCCCAGCTTGTTACTTCCCATCAGTGGGGTTGGACTGATTGTATTGCGTTTCTTCTCTTGTTGAGATGACGTTTGTACAGTAGCCGAGGTCAGTTCACAACCTAGTAGATAAAACGTATGAGAAACCCGCTTGTTTTATAAGCTAACTAAATTTAAGCCTGTTCTAGGCGTTCAGATAGTGGAGGCAGAGAGAAGTGAACTAGAAACAACAGCGAGCTCCCACTCTTCCGCTTTTTCCCACTCTCTTCTTTCCATTTCGCTACACTCTCCAATTATTATGTGCTTACCGTAAATGATCGAATAAGCGCCGCGGCGCTTATTTCATTTCTCTGTTAAAGGTGCGGCGCTTATTCGAGTAGCGGCGCTTAATCTATCAGTTACAGTACCCATGAGATTTCCAACCGGATGGACTGTGTAAAAGGCAAGCAACTAAGGGTTAACCTTAGAACGGATTACAACAACAAGACGTGCACCTTCGTTCAAACGCTGGATAGCGCTATCCACCGGATAAACCACTATCCAGCGGGAGACCAATAGGCCTTTTGCAACAGTTGCTCACGTGATTAACTGTCTGTAAACACGAAATACTTCGCCTTTGGAAACTTTTGTTAGTAGTAACTGAAAGAGCATATTAGAATTAAGTAACCCTGTAAATTTTCAGACGTGTACCTCAAAAGTAGCGATTGCAAATTTACATGTACAGGTTAGCTAATTTTAATATGCTCTTTCAGTTTGTGCTAACAAAATTTTTCCAAAGCGAACTGTTTTCGAGTTTACAGAACGTTGATCACGTGATCAACTAATGCAAAACGCCTATTGCGTTATCCACTTGATAGAGATTTATTCAGTGGATAGCGTTATGCACCTTTGGAACAATGAGGCCAATTAAGTGTCTCATACGTCTACTATTAGCAAAAGGGAGTTTTAGCAACGACGAGGGCGACGGTAACAAGAACGTCATAAAAGCAGTCGGTTTATTGGACACAAAAACAAATTTGCACGTGCATCATACTTTTTGGTACAATTCTTTGCCGTCACTGCACGACTACGACGTGAAAGTGCCTTATTTCACGTTTTCTGGAGGACGTAAGCAAGCGACTACGAATTTTCTTTGTTTTTCTAAACTTAAGTACGGTCCCCAAGAAACCAACTCCGGGACATTCGCCCACATTTGGCATTTTCAGCAATTTGGAATAAACGCAAAAAAACGTTGAAAAAACGCGAATTCATTTTAATAGTGACGTTTTCGCTGTCGTCGTTGTCGTCGATGCTAAAGATGATGTTACACGAGACGATTCGCAACGACGATTTTTAGTGTAACACAGCGCTGCAATGTCGCAACAATGTTGCAACGCTGTGTTGAGCTAAAAATCGTCCTTGCGAATCTTCTCGTGTGACATCACCTCAAAGCTCCCTAATATCAATACAAACACAGACCTCCCTCGTCGTTGCTTTGCGTAGAGGGTCGGTGATCTGGATTTTTCACCTCTCTTTGACCCGCCTCTCTACCAGCTGCCTCCGTTTGCTGTTCCACGAATCGGCGTTTCATTTCCATGCTATCCTCAATGCTGCCCCCAGCAAGCTCGGCCACTTCCGCATCACTGGAACAGGAGCTTGACGTTTGAGCTGCAATGGATCGGGACACCTGGGGACTCACCGCTGACGGGGCTGGAATGGTGACAGGAATAGTGGACGGGCCATGACCCTCTACACCTGAGAACAATCCAAACAAACCAAAATAATGAAATGATGCTTGCAATATTGCGGCCGACAGTGGAGTACTATACCCTGATGACAATTCAACCAATAAAATGAAATGAACGAAATAAATTTCATGTCAATCAACAACTCTGGTTTCTACTTCAAGCTGAGCTTTGACCCCAGGTGACTTCACGTAAGAATGGTGACAAGGTTATCATCCAATTGGAGTCTCTAAGAACAACAGAATTGTCTGTAATTGAAAGGTTACCTAGAGACTGTCCGTTATAAAGAAGTCTCCATATTAAAGAGGTAGGAACTGTAAGAAATTGGGAATTTCTGGGGTCAAGAGAACTGGCCGTAATAGAGTGGTGTCCGTTCTATGATAGAGTTAGGACCTGTATGAAATGTGGAATCTCTGGGATCAAGGCATCTGTCCGTATTATAGAGGTATGAACTGTATGAAATATGGAAATCTTTTGGGACCAAGAGAACTGTCCGTAATAGACAAGTGGCCATGTGGAGAATTTTGGCTGTAGAGCTGTTTCATGTCCCATTACCTGTGTATGCTGGAGAGAGAGATTGCAGTGCAACTTTTGGTAACTGCCATATTCCGCAGTAAGCTAGTGTATCACCCGTCCAGGTGTTAAGACCAGGTGTGTTGTAGTTGAAATCAAATTTGAATTCTCCCAGACCTGTGGCAAAAGTAATAATAGTCAAACTGAAATAATAATGGCAAAAAAACTGCAATTGTGTGAAACAAAGTCATGAAACCAGGAGATACAGTAAAAACTCGCGAGTAAGAACCTAGTTTTTAAGAACCTGTTAGGCTTAAAATTGCCAGTTTAGCCCCCTCTAATACAAGAACCTGTTTAGCGTAAAATTTGAAACAAGTTCTTATTTTAAAAATCTATAATAAAAACATCTGTACACTTGGGCAGATAAGATAAGTCAACATTCAGGATCCTCTTTGGTGTCTTAGGTGCCTTACTACTCAATTACAACTGCAATTGTAATGGTACACAGGTTTTACCTATGGAATGAGCTGAATACCACGAAATACTCTTAGCTACAATGTATCTGTCCTTCAGAAAATAATATCCTATTTAAGAACCTACATCGCCTAAACTTGTGCTAATTACCATTTATGTAAGAGGCTGTTTAGGCTAACCTGGGAAAATGCGGGTTCTTAGTCGCGGGTTTTGTACTATAAATCCAAGGGCGATTACCATGAGTCAGAACTGACTGGCCAGACCAGTAAATTCATACTGGGGAAAGTTTGGTAATTTATTATGATCAGATCTGTCTATTCCTTAATAATACCTATGCACGGCTGAACAGTTACAGCAAGAAGCCCTAAAGTGTGACCCCTTTTGATTTATTCACGTTTTTTCGTGCAGATTTAATCCAATCAGAAGCCAACTGGAAGCTGTCCTCGACATCTGATTGGTTTATGTCAGCATGAAAGAATGTGAATTAATTAAAGGAGGTCCTACCTTTTGGTTTCTTGCGGTACGTTTTTACCGAAAACTCTCTGAAAATGCCGACTTTTTTAAAAGACTACCTCTCCACCTGACCTGCGTCGCAGACAAAATTTAACCCCCGTGACCACGCAGAGTTTAGTTTCGTCTGTGGCGGAGGCTACGGTCCTGCCCTTTTTTATTTATTTATTTATTTATTTATTGCCGTTTTGGTAAGCGTCCTTAGTTATAATCTGTTTGAACCAGATCGGAAACAAGGTGGCAAGCTTTAACATCACAAGAAGAGAAAAAGGAGACAACTTACCTTGCAAGAAGGTCTTCATGATTGATGGTAGTTCTGCATCCAGCAGAAATGCAGAAGGCTTGTAAGATTCTCTGGAGAAAACAAATATATTCTACTAACAATGCTTTTTTTGTCAACATGCAGAGACGTGGTTAAATCAGTGTTACGATTACGGACCGAACAGACTTCCCTCAGCCCAAAAGCATGATTAGTTTTCAGTAGTAATGACTTTTAATCAAGGAAAAACCCTGAAAATTATCAGACGACTTACAAAAGCTTGTTTTTGTCCATCAGCAGTGTTTCAAGATAGCTTTCCATTAATCCATCATTCAAAGCAAGCCTAATCCATGCCTAAAGAGAAATATGATTCATTTAAAGCAGGATTGGAATGGGTTACTTCTTAAAAGAGACGGGTAAATGTATTCTCATAGGAAAACAACATGTGATGTTTCTAAAATCTTGGGCACCATTTTCATACTTGCGAGCGTCAGATAGTTAGAAGACGTTCATTACCCGTCCATTGTTCTTAAAGAAAGACTAACCCCTCGTCAGAACAAATAAAAGAATTCTTTGTTGTGTGAGGTTTATATCTTGAATTGTGGAGCTGCAGTACTAGTAGCAACATAGTAACATGTTAGTTGAATGAAAAACGTTCACTGGTTTCGTCAGTGACAAATGTACAAGGAGGAGGTAGAGAGCAGGGCTTGTTCCACTGCCAGCACTGTGCCTTCTTCAGATGGTCAGAGAGGAAAAAGAAAGAAAACAACATGGAACTTACCCGACATTTACCGACGTTCGTGTGAATTTGAGAAAGGTGCTCTAACTCATGCAGAACGTCCTTGTGCGTGAAATTGACAATCAGGGACCAAAAAGACTGCAACAAAATTTACATCAAATGAATGGTGTTATAAGAAAAAGTAATGTCTCAACAACTCCACTCCACGCTATCCAGCTCACAATAATGTGAGAATATTGCCCAGTTGAAGTCTTTTTCGAACGTCCAGCCGCTTGTACAGTATGTAATTAGCTGTAATTATACTTCCGCATGCGTATTACATGATGTGTTTTATACGGGAAACCGCAGAAAATGGGTGGGTAATGTTTTAGCCTGAGAGAACAGCTTCCATTTCGCGACGCTACCACTGATTTACCAGCGAAATGACGTTTGAGAAACGAGCGCAGAAATTCCATACTGAAGACGTGTCACTATCCAGATCTGGGTAGTGCTTCTGATTGGTCGTGCCGCGTGGGAAATTTGCTTCATGATCAACCAATCAAAAGCACTACCCAGATCTGGGTAGTGACGCGTCATCAGTATGGAATTTCTGCGCCTGTTTCTCAGACGTCGTTTCGCTTGTAAATCAGTGGTAGCGTCGCAAAATGTCAGCTGTTTTCTCAGTCTAGTAATGTTTCAAAGTTTGAATTCACTTTCTTCTGATTCTACTTGACTCTTTTCTGAAAATAAAGATAACTTACATGTGTAGGCATTGTCTCAGTGGATATCTTCCCAAGCAAGTTGAAAAAATTTGTCTGCAAAACAACACTGAATTAAATTCGCGTGATGTGAAGGCCCTAGGGGCGGGGTACTCTCTGTAATGGTCAATACGGGAGGCTCTGTCAGAAAGGGGTCGTTTTTTTCAGGAGTCAGGTATATGAAAGGGTAGGGATTTCACTAGTTGAGGTATGTGAAAGGGGAGCGAAATCTGTCATTGCAGTTTGTGAAAGGACCTAAAGGGCTAATAGGCGCATTTTATGGCAGTAAAAACGACAAGAAAACTTCGTGGATTAGTGATTTATTCATATTTAAAAGACAACGCAGTGAGAGTGATTTCAGTTGTCCGGTTAAAATTGATACTAACTAGTGAAAAATAGCTACAAGTAAACAAATGAAGATAATAGAACAAGAGCACAATAGTGCATAGTATTCTACTACATATTTCACGGGGTAAGTAAGGGATGCAGCGTTCTGAACTAGTATGTGAAAGGGGTATCATTTGTCATTTAAAGGTATACGAAAAGGGTGCCTTTTCTGGCACAACTGGTAGATAAAAGAGTAAGAGACTGGACCTCGGGAAGGCGCCTCCTCGTATTTATAAAATTATGTTGAGAATCCCCCCGGGTGTGAAGAAATTCAAAAATAAATAAATAAGTAACAGTAAATGAGTCAAGAATATTTAAATCCTTGCATCGAGCAACAGGCCTGCCACTAAAGCACTGCCAGCAGCGATCGCAGAAACAATTGTGGGAAGCATTTGGGCTCCAGTTCCTTTCTCGTTTCTAAAGTGGAGAATCAAGACGTAAAGCTTTTGATGTGTATTTGTTAACACAAAAACGTAGGACAGTTTCCCTTACCTTAACCCCATGTTCTTGGTATCCATGAAGAAAGATGGCTTCCAAGAGAGAAGAAATTATCAAGGCATGTTCGTCATTCCTGAAAAGTAATTTCAACGTTAAAGGAACTGTGTCATGAAATTTATCTCGACCATGTAAGGGAATCCGGAAAATTTTTGCCGTGGATCCCGGAATCCGGGACTTTGGAATCCGGAATACAACTCAAGGAATCCGGAACCCTAATAACGATTGGAATCCAGAATACAAGTTCTACTGACAAATACTGGGATCCAGTACCTGGAATCCGGAATCCACAGTGTAGAATCCAGAATCCAAGAGAGTCCTGGATTCCCTTACACAAGGCGATTTATCAAAATTCAAACAGTAGGAACTGGCACAAACTGAGTGAAACATTAAAATAACTATAGTCAAAACATGAAAAGAAGGTATTTAGATTGCAATTGTGGTTTTTTGAAAACTCGTTAGCATGACAGCTTTTCAAAGTTCATTTTTGCTGTTTGTAACGTTTGCTATAATGCTTGGGAGTGGTTTGATACGAACCTGTGATTTTGTCATTCACAAGAAATTCATCAAGTTCCATAACGACTAAGGACGCGCATTGGCATTATTAAGGACTTTACGATCCGACGACACTATGGTAACGAGAACGTAAAAAAATAGGTTTAAAAGAGCAAAACAACAACTTTGCAAGTGCATCACACTTTTTTGTACATTTCTTTGCCTTTTCTGCACGACTACGACGTGAAATTGCCTAATTTGACATTTCATGGAGGACTTCAACAACCGACGTCGAAGTTTTATTTTTCTTTCTGAACTTGGATAGGGATCCTAGGAATTCAACTCCAGGAGGGTTCGCCTACTTTTGATAAAATAAATGGGTAGAAATAATCGCGATGAAGACTGCAAGAAGGTAAATTCACTCTTTAAGCGACGTTCAATATTCGCTTCCATTGCGTCTTCGGATCGTTAAGTCCCCAATAACAAAATTTCAAAGCCCCTCTAAAACTGTGCAAAATTTACAACCCAATTAGCTAACAATGATCTAGAATGACAAAACTCATTACTAACCTTTCCACCTCTACGTCTGTCCCAATGTGTTTTCTTTGAAGCTGTAGAGGGTAAGGAAACATTTCAAACTCTAAGAAATGAAAAACTACTTTAACAAACAATAAAACCGGCTTTCTTCCAAGTTCTCGTCAACATTTGGTTGAACAGTTCATCATCTGGATAAAGTAGGCAATTGATTAATTTCGTTACGCGCCCGTAGCTTAAGCAGTTATAGAGGATACCTCAATACTCTTTGGTGTGCAAAGAATTTCTGAAAGTTGCTGACGCTACCACGCGCAGCCAAGAGAATATAAGAAAGTAAAAGTAGCATTCTTTGGCTAAGTGTGTTGCGCACAGACTCAAGATGTTTGGAAATTAGGTGATCGTCATTGTTTTCGACAGTTAATTTACTGGGAGAAGTATGAAAGTAGTTTAAGAGCAGAGTGTACATATGAATAGCATTCAAAGCGCATTTGTTACTGGGCTCCCTTGAGGCGAACCAGCCAATATTTTGGCCTTGTGTCATGTACCTTTTTTCTGTGTCGAAAAATGACAATGAAAGACTAACAGACACGCAGTAATTACTCAGGAAGTGCAAAGTGTTTCGTGTTCATTTCACTGTAAATCTCACCTGCACCGTCACACGGAAAGTTCTGTTTATAACTGATTTCTCTAAGGCAACATTAGCAGTGCCTAAACATTTGGGTTAATTCACCCACGTCTCAACTCGTGGTCACTGATACAAATACTCCACGCATGGCTTTATTATTAAAAATGCCTTATTTCCACTGCCATGAGGGTAGAGTGAAGAGACCACCAAAATACCATGGTTTGGCAGTCGCTTGCAGGACGTAGTAGACTTTCTGCTAGTTGTCAAGGAGCGGAATATGCGAGAACGCGCGAAAATTGTCACCCGTGAGGAAAGTGACAGACGCCTTCGAGTATTTACTGTCCCTGGGAAAATGTCGGATTACTCCTTGAGTTGGGGAGTGGAAGCCCATGAGAGGTTTCAGCTACAGTGCTCTGACTGGGTAAACTGTTTTTGGCATTTGGATAGGTGGTGGTGATTTACGGTCATCTCGCCACCAGACCATGTCGCCACCAAAGAGGTCAGCTGGTGACGAGTTGTTTAGTGGTGAGATATTCTGGTGGCGAGGTGGTCGGATTCAGTGATCGTTTATGAGAGGTGGCGAAAGCACTCGCCCCCAACCAATGTGGCCTGGATTCGATTCCCGGCGTTGACGGGTTGAGTTTGTTGTTGGCGTTCTTCTCTGCTCCAAGATTTTCTATGCCGGGGTACTCCGGTTTTCTTATTTCGTAAAAAAACAATCATTCAGATTCCTATTCGATTTACACGTAAATGTCTCCAAATAGTTGGCGACAATAATGAGCGCAACAGGTTCATCAGTACTTGGAACTGAAAACCTGTCCCCATTTCTAGTTAGTAGTATGGTTGTTTGTTTTTAGGTGGTGGCAAAGTTCGACATATTTGGAGGTTTTAAACAAAGAGAATAGTTTGGCAATTGATTGTTGCCTGATTCATTTGACTGTTGCACGTGTCATTTATGGCTCAGTGCAACAGAACATGTGTGAAACACTGGCCAGATAAGCCATTCAAATTTACTAAAGATTGTACTAAATAGTCAACCGAGGCACCTTCAAGCTTACCCAACCAAACAGTATAATAGAGCAACCATTTGTTTCAGGAGTATCAAATTGTACAAATTGTCAACTTTCGGTCTCTTTTTACAACTTGAGCCAAGAATTCTATGGAACGTTGAGAAGTTTTAAGAGTTACCTCAATAAGAGAAAATTATAGTTATCGCCGAATTCTGTCAACGGCAAATAAACGGACAGCTTTCTTGAAAAATAATCAACTTGGCACACAAAAAGTTATTTTACTTGGACATTTAAAATCAAAATTGGTCCACTGTCTCTCTTCACCCAGCTGTATTAATAGGCAACGGAAAATACTAACAAGAGAAACCTTACGATTGACTAGTATCCTATTCAGTACCTTTTCCACATGAAAAGGAGAAAGAACTTCATCCTTAAAAAGTATAGTGAACTAAACGTGAAATACAATCACAGAGTGCTTTTCCTTGTTCTGTCAAAATGTTAGCTATCTGGTTGAAAGCTCTAGGTTTCGTATTGCCCATACAGTGCCCCAAACATTATTAGGGCTTTTCATTTTGCGTAATACAATAGTTGAGTTTTAAAAACTGCAAAATGGCTCTAACAACGCGGTCTTTTGCACTTTCCCATCCAGATTTAAGGCGTAAACTCCAAGGAAACTCCATCTGAATGGCATCAATACGACCTCCAGACCGCGATCCATGCTTCCTCACCGTGTAGCCTCCAGAAAAGAGGCGCGTCTTGTTCGGTGCCGGCTCTTCTGGAGAAGGCACCGCACGCAGTCCCTCCTGATTTAGAAAGTAACCAAGACTTCTGTGGCCATGGATGAACATTTTGAAACAGGAGGGGTCATTTCCACACCAGTGTTTGCCAAGGTTTCTGACTGAAGTGTTCTCTGCAGTAAACTCACCGCTGTCAAGATGGTTGCCGTTAATGAGATAGCCAAGCTCTATTCTGTCATGACGTTCTTGGCCATGAATATCCAAAAGAAGACCACGACCATGAATAGCTGATCTTGCTTTTTCAACGAATTTGTGGTAGTCTCTATAGGCCTTTTTTGCGTCTAGAACGTCGAAAGTTGCCTCATTTATCTCTCTGTTGACGTCGAGTTTACTTCTGTTCAATCCGTTATGAACAAAATGTGGTCGCAAACCTATGTGATAAAATGTACGTGTTATATATTGATATGAAGAGATTAAGAGCCATGAATCAACCTACTTTTACCAAAACAAATAGCCTGCGTACGCAGACATATTTCCCGTGCAGCCAAACGATTTTTGTGACTGAAGCGACGACCGGAAATACGTATGCGTTGGCACAAAATGCGCGCCGTCTTGTTTGAAGCAATTTATTGCTAATTGCATATAGGCAAATACGCATTATATTAATTACTTTTGTTGCTTGGAAGTACAAAAAAAATTAATCAACCAAATCAAATAAATCTTGCAGGCAATACTCTGTTTATAATTAGGTCAGACTCCCATGAAATTATGTACCCTGTTAAGGACAGCCTCGTGCGAAATTTTATACCCTGTTCAGGACAGAGAGGCAAAAAACTATACCCTGTCCAGCGGCACATCCCTGCACAGGCCGTATAAGGGAGTACTCCTGGGTCAATTTTCCTTACCAGTCAACGCTCTGATACCATCAGCAATGTCTCGAGCAACCACTGCGGCGCCTGCGTCGTTGTAGGCAATTAGTGTGCAGGTTTCGTTATCTGGCTTACCACAATTGTGCTTCCACACACACCCATCGCTTCCTACGCAGCCAGGCCATCTGTCTGGCCAAGGATCTCCATTCTCTTGTTTCAAAGGGTTGATCTTGCCATCATGAGGAGATGATATAATTAAGCTCATGTTCCCAGGTTCGTATTTTGAAAACATCTTGAAGCCCCATTCCGTTTTTCCAATTATGCCGTGAAGAAGAAGGATAGATAGTAGAGCAACGTAGATGAACATATTCTTCAGCAAATTTGAAAAGCTGCCGGCTGTGGTAAACAAAAAAAAATGAAAATGTGAAATTTGCAAGGTTTTTTTTTTAATTATAAATGGTAAAATTAAGAAACGAGTTAGTAAGGCCTCAACCTGCCCTTCTGCTTTCAAACTAGCACTTGTTGCGCCTGTTCACAAGGCTGGACCAGCTTCTGATCCGAAAAATTAAAGGTGAAAAAAGAAGTGTGCGAATTGTTCTAGATGCTAATATTTAGGCTGGAACTCTGCCGTTATTTTTTGAACTTGGATAGCAACCCATCAATCAAATCTATATTGAAAGAAGACGTTTTCTCTTTGACGGACTTGAAATGGATTACCCTTTTGAGAAACTGTTATCTTTGAAATACCACAAGTCACATGATACAAGGACTCAGTTGTCTTGTGGCCTTCCCATTCCAATATCAACAACATGAAGCGAATGTTCTTTTATATAATGCTGTTAAAATGTGGAATAACGCTGTGATGAATTAAGAGAGGGTTTTTTAAGCTTTTTTAATAACATTGTATGTTAATAATTTACTATCTTTTAGTACTATAGTATTAATATTCACTTTCGGATAAGCCCTTCATATTTACTAAAGATTGTCCTAAACAGTCATCCTAAGCACCTTTATAAAGCTTGCCCAACCAAACAATATAAAATAGCAGCCATTTGTTTCAGAAGTATCCTTGAAATTGCTAATTTTTCAATTTTTTTCACAACTTGAGCGAAAAATCACATGGACTATTGAGAAGTCTAAAGAGTTCCCTCAACAAGAGAATAATCTAGTTGTCGCCGAATTCTGTCAAAGGTACATAAACGGACAGTTGTCTCGGAAAATAAGCAACTTGGCGCATAACAAAAAAGAATTATTTTACTTGGACAAGAAATTTAATTGTTCCACTATCTCTCTTCACCCAGCTGTATAAATAGGTAAGGAAGAAATACTGACAGGAGAAACCCTGCGATTGACTAGTATCCCATTCAGGTCTCTTTCCACAAGTTAAAAGAGAAAGAACTTTGTCCATTAAAAGAATAGTGAACAAAAATGAAATCAGTCAGCGTGAAATGCAATAACAGAGCGCTTTTCCTTGTTCTCTCAAAACGTTAACTATAGGTTAAAAGCTCTACTGGGTTCCACACTGCCCATACAGTGGCCTACCCTGGGTACCAGAGGTTTTTTCTCGCGTGCGACGAGGAGCTTCGTCGGCCACAGGCCGATACGTCTTCGGCCGAAGGCCGAAGACACGATCGCAACAGTGGCCTGGACCGGGATGAAAAAAACCTTTTTAAGATAAGAGGGCTCTTAACTTTTGTTTTCACTGGAACAATAACCTACTGTTTTGAAATAATAGTGACGAGTTCCCTCAATCTTAAACCGACCCTGGACAGTTAAGAAAACGGCCTTTCTTATTGCACAATACAGTAGTTCAGTTTTAAAAACTGCAAAATGGCTCTGACCACGCGGTCTTTTGCACTTTCCCATCCAGATTTAAGACGTAAACTCAAAGGAAACTCTATCTGAATGGCATCAATAAGACCTCCAGACCGCGATCCATATTTCTTTACGGTGTAGCCCCCAGGGAGAAAGGGCGTCCGGTTCGGTGCCGGCTCTTCTAGAGAAGGCACTGCACGCAGTCTTTCCTGATTTAGAAAGTAACCAAGACTTCTGTGGCCATGGATGAACATTTTGAAACAGGAACAATCATGTCCAGCGCATTGTTTGCCAAGGTTTCTGACAGAAGTGTTCTCTGCAGAGAATTCACCGTTGTCAAGTTGGCCGCCGGTAATGAGATAGCCAAGCTCTATTCTGTCATGACGCTCTTGGCCATGAATATCCAAAAGAAGACCACGACCATGAATGGTTGATCTTGCTTTTTCAATGAATTTGTGGTAGTCTCTATAGGCCTTTTTTGCGTCTAGAACGTCGAAAGTTGCCTCATTTATCTCTCTGTTGACGTCAAGTTTACTTCTATTCAATCTGCTATGAACAAAATGTGGGCGATAACCTGTGTGACAAAATGTACATGTTATATGTCAGAAGACGTAATTGAGAACCGTGAATGTTTCTAACCTACCTATACCAAACCAATAGAGTACGAACGCAGACGTAGTTCCAGTCGTCGCTTCTCTCCACCCAAAAAGGAACACCTGCGAACCTGAGCCGCTAAACGTTTTCCGCTGTGACTTGCTTTTCGGGTGGAGAGAAACGACGACCGGAAATACGTATGCGTTCGCGGGGTACCAAACAAACCAATCAGAATCAATTTTCCTTACCAGTCGACGCTCTTATACCATCAGCAATGTCTCGAGCAACAATTGCAGCGCCTGCGTCGTTGTCTATGATAACTTTGCACTTTTTGCTACCTGCTTCACCACAGCCGTGCTTAAAAACACATCTATCGCCTCTTAAACAGCCAGGCCTTCTGTCTGGCCATGGATCTCCATTCTCTTGTTTCAAAGGGTTTACCATTCCATCATGAGGAGACGTTACAATTACGCTCATGTTACCAGGTTCGTATTTTGAAAACATTTTAAAACCCCATTCCGTTTTTCCAATTATGCCGGGTAGAAGAAGGATAGAAAGTAGTGCAGAGTAGTTCAACATATTCTTCGGTAAATTTGAAAAGCTGCTCGCTATGGAAAAAATGAAAATTTCAAAACCGTTATAAATGGTAAAAATATGCTTTCAAGCTAGCACTTGTTGCGCCTGTTCACAAGTCTGAACCAGCTTTTGATCCGACAAGTTAAAGGTCGAAAAAGAGATACGCGTATTATTCTTGATGCTACTTTTCTGGCTAGAACTTTATCGTTATTTCTCATTTTGAACTTGGAAGGCCACCCATCAATCAAATCTATATTGAAAGAAGACTATTTCTCCTTGACGGACTTGGACTGGAAACTGTAATCTTTGAAATACCACAAGTCGCATGATACAAAGACTAGGTTGCCTTTTGATTGTCTAATTCACTCTCTTCTGCTTAGACCTAGCTCCTTACTTTTCATGAAGTTGGTGAACTGCTGCTTAGGCAAGATCGCCTTTGAACTCTTGTCCCATACAGCCAGCCTGAATCGCTGTGGCGCTGTGCCTTCTGTTGGAGAGTTTTTAAATTGGATCTCCTATCTGCTCCCTTGAAAGATTTAGCGACCTTATCTGTGTTCTCCCAATTTTTTCAGCCATAATCATGACAAAACTTTGGACCACTTGACACCGTTCTTCAACCCAGTTGTGGCACTTCTGATAACAGTCGGGGCCAGGAGGAAAATCCCCTTGCAAGCTTTTTAAATTTCCTGACACTATGAAAAATGACGACGCAAGCAAACGCTAACCCAAACTCTGAAGCGCTGAATGCTAAAAACTTGAAACTTGAAATGTAAAGGCACTCCGATTTACATAAAGACTGCACGTTCTAAAAAATGTAACCGATTACGGAAGAAGTCTCACAATTTCTACGGGACTCATTAATAGCTATTCTACCCGAAAATGTAACAACTGTAAAGGAGCAAACTTTTCTCACCTTTCAAAGAGCCTGCTTGACCTCAAATGTAACTGTGCATTCCAAGCTACGATGAAAAGTCAATACGTATTTCCCACCCGACTATTTAAAAAGAATGTTCCGCTATTTAATCATCTGGGTCGACATCGAAAACAATTAAGCTCGACGCGAAATTCACTAGCATTGACGCAACGCGACAGAGTAAAATATTGATGAAATTCGCCAGACGCAGTCTGCAGGTTGTATGCACCAAAGGTGTTACCCTTAAGATATAGTTTACCGGCTTTAATGTGACAGATAAAGTGGAAAAATCAAGAAGATAATTTTTTGCCAAATGTTGAAAGCACAAGAACCTTATCTTGGAACAAAGTATCCATCACGAACACACTGGAGTAGGCGAGAAATGCAATCATCACGGGCACATGCATATTCAGATAAAAGAAAATGATAAGATTTCTTTGCTCTATAATGATTCCAAACGTAGATAGTTGATAAACCAATAATCAATAATAATCGATAACAATCATAGATGAATATCGATTTGCAATATCAATCGATCGAAATCGATAAATAAAAAAAGTGGTGACTTGGATTAATATCGATTTCCAATAGAAATCGATAATGATTTTTACATCGACTGTTATCGATGACTATCGATTATTATTCGATGACTATCGATTATTACTCGATGACTATCGATTATTATAGGAAAAGACTAAAGTGATTATTCGATAGAAGTTCAACATTTACAGGAAGTTGTCCGAACGGTATTATTGAGTCAATCAGTGGTGAAATTATGCAGTTCTTTTAATTGACAACATGATAAAAGAACAAAACACTAATAGGAAGAAATTTCTCTTTGTTTTGATTTTTTAGCTTAAGCGCAGTTCGCAGTAGCAACTCCATAAATATGGAGCATAATTAATAAAGAACAAAATCAGTGTTATTATTACATGTAAAGATCTATTAAACCTGGATTAAAACAAACCAGGCAAGGAAAGAAACAAAAAAATGGAACCTCGTAAAGACTGCGCCTGAAGTAGTTGCTGGAGTCATCAAAAATTACCTCATGGGTGTTGCTTGCCAAATTTTGAGAATGTTCACTTCAAGACCATTGCTTGTTATCGATTACTATGGATTTTGTTAATCGATAATAATCGATAAATGATTTTTTCTGACTTCGATTTCTATCTATTTCGATATTAATCGGCGAATTAAATCAATTAATATCGATGAAATCGATTGATTTCACCACGCCTGGAATGATTACCAGTGAATGAAATTGAGTCTCCAGTGAATGACATTTGAAAAGCCACCTTTGAAGCCAACACTAATAACGCTTCGACCGATTTAAATGACGAATTTCACAAGAATAAGCTAGCCTTTCACTTTTTTAAAGCAAGATATAGTCATATGTGGGGGTATCAGATGTTTCTTTCAGACGCCCGTCAAACTGGTATTTTTTTTTTCATGGATTCTGGGTACATACCACTGAATCTCCGTGACATTTGGGCGTGTTTTGGTGGGAGATATCTTACAAAAGTCATCTTTTAGTGTAATGGGGTTTACGGACCGGGGTTCCATAGGGTGATTTTACGTGACAATGGGTTAAACCTTTGATTTCGCAAAGTAACAGAGGTGATATAGTATCACACCTTTTCACCTTTGACAGGTTCCTTTAATTACTATTAGTCTTTATGAAAGCCTGGACTAAAGGTTGTTGGAGCATTTTGATTTGCGCAACGGAGCATACCTTTTTATAGGAAGTTGACGTTTGTGTTAATAACGGTATTTGAAATTAACGCGACTTAAATTAACGCAAACTGAAGGAAAACCTCAGTGTTTGATCTCGTGTACCAAGTGCCATCCTCGGCGATCGTCACAGTTTTGGCCGACAAAGATCATCTTCAGGCCACCTGCTGGTACAGAGGGTACAAACTAATCCATCACGGAATTCAAGTTATTTAGGGCTTCCGTTATCATTATTCACTTGAAGCGAATTATGTCACACCCGGAGGAGACATGGCATACTGGCTCACTTGCTGTCTGACAGATCAATCGGGAAAAAAAAAAGACATTTTTTCACATTTAAAATGCAAAAGAAATTCATCCTTGAAAAAAATACTGAAAAGAAAAAAGCGTGAAATGCGATCACGCACTCTGACATCAAAAGGAACTGACACCAAAAAGGATTCCCCTGCACCATCTTAGGTCTTGTTTATGTGCCGCCTTTGCAGAGGCCTTCATTGAGAGGCCCTGTCGGTTGAAGAAACGGCCTCTTTTTGCGGAAAACCATAATTCAGCTTCAAAAACTCAAAAATGGCTCTAACCACCCTATGTTTAACTCTTTTCCATCCAGATTTACTGCTTAAACTTAAAGGAAACTCCATCTGAATGGCATCAATAAGACCTCCACAGCGCGATCCATGATTCTGCACCGTGTATTTCCCATAGAGGTAGACTGTGTTGTTCGGTGCCGGGTCTTGGGGAGAAGGCACCACACGCAGCCCTTCCTGATTTAGAAAGTAACCAAGACTTCGGTGACCATGAACGAACATTTTAAAACAGGAAGGATCATCTCCACACCACTGTTTGCCAAGGTTTCTGATTGAAGTGTTATCTGCAGTAAAATCATCGTTATTAAGTTGGCTTCCGCTAATGAAGTAGCCAAGCTCAATTCTTCCTTTGTCATGAACTTGGCCATGGATATCTAAGAGCATCCCACGGCCATGAATAGCTGATCTTGCTTTTTCAACGAATTTGTGGTAGTCTCTCCAGGCCTTTCTTGCGTCTGGAACATTAAGGGTTCCCTTATCAATGTCTCTGTTGACCTCGATTTTAGTTCTCTTTAATCTGTTGTAAACAACATGTGGACGCAAACCTATGCAATTAAATGACATGAATTTAGTGGACATGATTGAGAGTATCCTTCCTTACCTCACCTTAAAAGGAACAAGATACCACATCCGGGTGTTGTAATACGGGGAGGCTCAGCATGCGCCGAGGTCTGGCCCCTTACTCTTTTATATACCATTTTTAGCCAAAAGGGTACCCTCTTGTATACCTTCTTTGAGAAATGGTACCCCTTTCACATACCTAGTTTGGAACATTTTATCCCTATTAACTGCTGCAAATGCACTGCCTTTAATATGAAGAAAAGGAAATTTTCAGGATTTTTTAACAACCACAAATTCTTCTATTAGCCCTTTTAGGTCTTTTTACATGTGGAAAAGCTAAATTTTCCAACCCTTTATCTACTTCAACCAGTGAAATCCCTGAGGCCTTCAAAAAGTACCTCTTCTGGGCGGAGCCTCCCAGTATAGGCCATAATAGGGAGTATCCCCAGAGTGCTTTATACAATCATGATGCCAGAACTGTTGCGGGCCAGTCTTCGAAGTTTTGAAACATTTTTTACGTTTTTTACATCTTTGGCTCCGAACGACTCTCTCATAACGATCACTTTTCGTAAACGACCACCTCCCGTAAGAGATTACTTTACAAATAACCGTTTTTTTTTTCTCAGGCAAATACTGTTTCAAAAACTCTCTCGTAAGCGACCACTACTTAAATTTCTTAAACGACCGCGACCACTTTTTAGGCCACATTTAACATATTTCTTTGTTTTGTGTTTCTGGTAAGAGACCACCCGGCATCGTGATCACGGATGATTGTAAGAAAACTGTGGAGAAAACCACCACTCGGAGTTCAGTTTTTTAAGCGCTGACCAAGCGTGCTGACAGATTATAGCAGTTGACGTACAAAAAAGATAACTGTAGTACGATCAGTAGCTAAAAAAGGTGGATTGATATATTGATGTAAAATGTTCTGTAACAAGTTTCAATAGTTCCAAATGCTATTCGATGTAAAACTCTGTTGCCAGGTGCAAATTTAACTTATTTCATCAGAAACGGTAACGTGATTATGCTTTTATGATAAAACGTGATCTGTTCACTGCACAAATCAAAATCAAATTGTTGTAGCGTTAAAAAAAAACAGTATTTTAGTTGTTTTACAGATTATGCAACAAGAAAAGCCAATGAAATGGCATTCGAGTGGTGTAACACGAACCAGAATTCGAGTTGTCGGTGTAAATTTCAGTGAAATTTTGATCAAGGGAAAGGAAAGTTAGTTCGAGTTAACAAGGAATTCGCGTTATTCGAGTTCGAGTAAACCGAGTTACAATGACTGAAAAGTGGGGTGAAATCCAAGGGAAATGGGAATTAGTTCGAGTTATCAGAGTTCGAGTTATCGAGGTCCTACTGTATAAAGGTACATATGTGGCGGAAGGAAGTGGACTTGCTATTGGGCTGAAAAACTGTCTATGTTTCACGCCTTTTTAGGGAAACAAACAAATTTTAATTTTCCTTACCAGTCAGTGTTCTGATACCATTGGCAATGTCTCGCGCCAATATTGAAGCGTTTTCATCGGTAATAGTGACAGCTGCACACTTTTTGCGATCTGTTTTACCACAGTTGTGCTTCCATATACACCGGCCATCGCTTCCTAAACAACCAGGCTTTCTGTCTGGCCATGGATCTCCATTATCTTGTTTCGAAGGGTTGAGCTTTCCATCATGAGGACATGTTATTATTATGCTCGTGTTACCGGGTTCGTATTTCGAGAACTTTTTCCAACCCCATTCCGTTTTTCCAGTGATTGATGCCGGTAGAAGAAAGACGGATAGTAATACAGGGAAGATCAACATATTTTTCGGCAAATTTACAAGGCTGTTGTGGAGAAAATAGAAAATTCAAAAGCCTTTAACCCTTTAAAACCCAATAGTGACCACCACTGATTTTCTCCTAACAAAATCACTACATAATCAAGAGAAGAGGTTATGAGAATTCATGAAATGATCACCAAAGGGAAAATGCGTTGATCTTTTTACAAATTCTCTGAGCTATTTTTTATAAATTGTATGGTAACCAGTTTGGAGAACTTGTTATTTGGTATTGGGGCTTCATGTGAATGACAAAATCACAGCTCCGCGTGAAACAAATATGCTTCCCTAAGCATCAGCTAGTCTATCAAATGTTGACAATACAAAAATGAACTTTGAAAAACTGTTAAACTAACAAGTTTTAAACATTACAATTACAATCTGTTTCTATCTTCTTAAGGTTTGTCCAAAATGGCTTTCGTAAAAATCATTCTTGTGAAACTCAGTTGTGTTAACTGTTGGAGATTTAGCTCAGAACATTGATGACGGAGACCAAATGGTCATGCTTATCCTCGATTTTAGTAAAAACTTTGACGAGGATCCCCATGAACGTCTAATGGTCAAACTAAAGCATTATGGTATCAAGGAGAAAACATTGGAATGGATCAAGTCGTGCAGGCTGACAAAAAGAACACTATCTATTGTGGATTAATCTCCAAGCCAGTAGCTGTAACGTCCGGAGTACCTCAAGACACTGTGCATGCTCGGTCCTCTAATCTTCCTCCTGTATGTTAATAACAAACAGGAGGATCTGGAATGCACATTGACGTTATTTGCGGACGATGCTCTACTAGATCACAGAATCACTTGTGAGACTGCAACCATGGCTTTACAGCGCGATCTGGACGAACTTGGATCATTGGCCGAAAGCGGGCAAATGGTTTATAATCCCTCCAAATGTTACAAAATGCTAGTTTACAGATCTAAATCACCAGTCCTAAAAGACTACAAGCTATTTAACTAGGTTCTTTCATCTGTTCAGCAACATCCCGACCTTGGAATCCTGTTATCTGATGATTTACGGGGGAATTCGCATGTTAACAAGATTGTGAGAGAAGCTAATTCAACCCTCGGTTTTGTCAAACGTAATCTGCACTTCTGTTCCGAGGAAACTAAACGATCTGCCTCATTTAGAATTTGCCTCTGCTTTATGGGATCCCTACCGGCAAGATCAAATAGACAAGATTTGAGCGGTCCAGAGACGAGCAGCACGATTTATCAAAAAAGATGACGAATGGAATTCTAGCGTATCGCAAATGCTGCATTCGCTGTCCTTAGAACCGTTGAAGGAGAGAAGGAAAATTCATCGTCTTCGGACATTCTACGAAGCTCACAACAATATAATCTCCTCACCAACAATATAATCGTTTAACCTTTAACCAGTTCGTCATATACTTACCTGCAATCGCAGTGGTATTGCGTTTGAAAAACAAACCTTTAAGTGGTATAAACCCTAAGATAGCATAAATCCGGGCGAATCGAGGCCTAACGGCTCGTGAAATTACGTATAACAATTTCGAAATATCACTCGTGGTATTTATGCCAAATATCACTACAAATCATGCTATTACCTATACTAATATCACTGCTTTATAAAACAAAGTGGTCATGAGAATCTAGGACGTGATCACACAAGGCGAATCTACTTGATACTTCAACAAATTCTCCCCACTACTTCTATTGAAAATGTAGAGGGTTAACAAATGAGAATTTCAATTTTGATATTAGGGTTTAAGCGGTTAACAACAAGCCAGTCGACGTATATCAGACCCTGCGATCGCAATGATTATTAGCTCTCTAGCTTCTTTCCAAAAACTATAGATGATTGAAATGTAATCCCCTCTACGATTAGAGCAGAAAGGTATTTGTAATTACTTTAGCTACAATTCTGTTAAAGTTTACCTTCTATTAATTTTTTTTAAATGTTTATTTATCTCTTTTCGATGCGAAGGCGTTAAAGAGTATTTCAGTAAAGAAGTAGAAGATCCGTGTCTCCTAGTGTATTTGCTGTGTAATTCATACATTCTTTCAATACTTTGATCGGTTTATTTTGTTTCGCTCAAAAATTGGTGACAGTTAACACTGCTTGAATTTTGATAAATTTCGTGACACTTCCCCTTTAACTAAGTTAGTTTTACAGTTATGAAACAAGTTAGTAAAGTCACCAACACGATGAAGTTTAAGGTGGTACCAGAGGTTAACGTGACCATCTCATGCAGAATCGTGCGATTTTCTACTAGCTTGAAGCTAGCCAGTACTTAGCATTGTATGCGAAGTTTCAGTTCAGGGCGATCTCATTTAAGCGAGATATAGGCAACTGAATAGAAGTTTCGTTCCTAAGACCAATTTCGCGGGAAAATCATGGTAACTGTATCCCAGAGACGGCAAATTTGACAGTTTTAATATCCGGTTATGACTGCGAAACAATCACGAGTCACAAACTCGGTATGGTAGCGTAGGTGCCTGGGGGGGCCTACTTTCAAACTCGACGACAAAAAAAGCGTCTATGTTACGCTATGGAGCAAGTTGCTTACTCTAAGAAATACGCAGGAGAATTATTGCTTTGCTTACCAACAACAGAATGCGGTCAAGGCTGGAAGTTACTGCTGTAGAACTGATTGTACCTTTCAAGCAAAGATACAAAATTATAATGAGTAATTTGGAGCAGACTTTTGAAACGGAAGGGTCGACATCGAAAGAATGAGGCTGGACGCGAAATTCACAAGCATTGATGCAACGTGGCAAAGTGAATTATTGATAACATTCGTCAGGCGCAGTCTGCAGGTTTGAAACATTAGAATTGGAACCTTTGAGATAGAGCATAATGACCTTAAAGAGCTAGATGGAGCGGAAAAAAGGAAGGGTCAAATACTGAAAATCGCCACAAGCGGTCTGCAGGTTTTAAACGCTAGAGGTGCAGCTTTTGAGATATAGATATGTCCTTGATGTGATAAACGAAGCGGAAAAAGGAGAATTCTCTTTTCACCGGTTGAAAGCCAAGAAATTCTATTATCTGCAAATATATTGATCAGGGGCATCTGTTCGGATTTCCTACATGAAAGTCTAGTGATCCGAAAATTATAGGGATCAAAACTTACCTTTTCGAAAATTTCAGCCACAAAAAAGGCTCCCGAAAATTCTAGCTGGCCTTTTTAGGGTAAAAATCCGTTAAAAATAGG